AATTTTCCTTGATCAGGGGTGACATGTCCTTGGGGGTGGTTGTCTTCGGGGGTAATTTTCCGGGGGTAAAAGAAGAAGAAGAAGAAGAAGAAGAAGAAGAAGAAGAAGAAGATGAAGAAGAAGGAGGAGGAGGAAGAAGAGGAGAAAGAGAAGAAGAAGAAGAAGAAGAAGAAGAAGAAGAAGATGAAGAAGAAGGAGGAGGAGGAGGAAGAGGAGAAAGAGAAGAAGAAGAAGAAGAAGAAGAAGAAGATGAAGAAGAAGGAGGAGGAGGAGGAGGAAGAGGAGAAAGAGAAGAAGAAGAAGAAGAAGAAGAAGAAGAAAAAGAAGGTGAAAATAAAAAGAATGGGAAAGAAAAAGAAGAAAAAGAAAAAGAAGGGGAGGAGGAGGAGGAGGAGCTAAGAGGGTCGAGGAGGAAGAAGAAGTTACACTGAAAATGCTAGAAGCATTATTAACGTAATCACCTAACAGTACATTGTAGACGTATATATCAGGAAGGTACGAATTTTTAAATGACCTTAAAATGAAATCTAATACAAAGTTTTGATATGGGGTCATTAATTTGGTTCAAATGAAAATATTGGAAGCATATTCAGTGATCGTTGTCGCGATTAAAATCGAGTGTTAAGTTATGAAATTGTAAATTATAAACTCTTTATGTTAACTCCCTCTCAAGGTCAATATATTAATTCAGCTATAAAACAATATTTCTTGACTAAAATCGACCGATTAGCTAGTCCCGTTTGGTAATTATATATCACAACTATACTCTGAGATTTTCAGGGTCGCAGCTACCAGGCGCGGATCCAGGATTTCTTAGGGGGGGGGGCCCAAATTTGAAATTATGCAAACCAAATATTGGTACGTAATGGTGACAAGCAGTGACGTAATAGGGGGGTTGAGTGCAGGGAGGGGCTAGTTTTCCCCCTCCCTCCTCCGCGAAGCGCGGAAGCTTTGACGTTTCATTAAATCATTAGAGAAAGAAAATGACTCGCAGTACCTTTCTCGACTTTTAACCCCCTTATAAATTCAATCCCCCCCCCCCTCCCCTACCATTGTACGGCCGTAGGCGCTATTTGAAAGTTATCAAAATTTACCGGGAGCACCGGAACATTTTTTATATTCAGTTTTTCTCGAAAGCAGAAGCGTTTTAGGGGCTAAATTTTCTAGTGATCCACAGGGGCATCCAATATCAAAATTGTAAAGAATTACTATCCACCCAATTTTCAAAATTACCCCCAAACGTGGTAGTATACCTATTTAACAGACAACTACTCTAAAGAATGATGACAGTTTGAATTATAATTCGGACATGAAATAAAAGATCGCGAGTTTTCACTATCAATTAGTTGGTAACACTGTCACTGCATTGCGAAGTGCCGGACTATACTTTCCCATTTGTTTAACACACAAAATGATTAAAATTTCAAGTTTTCAAATTGTATGATTCGGGAAGGTCTTTTCTTTTTTTAGAGCCAGGATACTAGAGGTATAATATATTTTTAGAAGTAATCAATGATTTGGGGTTTTTTTGCACGCGACAAAGTGCCTATACGGGAGATCGGGAGTTGTCCCATATGATGATATTCCATTGACCAAATTATCCATTTTTATTTGAGATTCGCATAGAATATTAGTGATCTCATATTATTTCAAATATTTCTGACACACTTATTATTGGTCTGATATATTTCAAACTTTTGCCATTCTGTTTCTCTTATTTTTCTGCTTCCATACAAATGAAGTTATTACAAGGGTTGGGTTAATTGCCCTTTAAATAATGCTACAAATGTAAAGGCGTATTAAAGCCAAGTTAGTTGAAATATACTAAAAGTAATAGTTGAGCATAAATTTATCAAATACATGTAATATTTTCACTTCATCAATTAAATTGGTAGTTCTTTGTCTTTTAAAAGTGTTATTATCTTATTTTGTCATTACGTTATAGGCAACCGCTGTCAATTAATACAAGCCAAATCTATTTTGTGGATATGGCCGGGTAGCGGACATCACTTGCAAAAACACCCCAAAAAAGAGAAAGTTTTCACACTTTAAGGATGAACTTTCCACACACATACCCACGCACAAAAATAAAATATGAACAACTGTACCAACAAAAAGTGATATCACATTTTATAGATGATTGGCTAATTGGTACGTAATAAAGAAGAAAACGAAAAATCTGTGTAATATTTTCGGGAGAACTGTTCCAAATGGACGCATATATTATATATTACCTTTATATGCAGTTAAATGCAACCTCGGTTGATGGCATGAACCGATTGTGTCCCCCCCCCCCCCCCCCCCCCCCCAAAAAAAAAAAAAAAAAAAAAAAACATGAAGCATGTACAGCGGGATGGCTGTTGATTAATTTGAGATGATAATACTTACCGACTTTAGTTATGAATCTCCCGATACCATAGTTCCCCTTTCAAGATATGAATTATAAAATAAATCATCACACAACTATACTTGGGTAGCACGAACGAGCGAGATCTTAGAGTATTCTCGGAGTGAGTGAATTGCCGAGCAATAATATAGATGTAGTTTCTCAAGCTGAAGGTCGAAGTTATCAAGATTTAAGAAATTTGCTTCAAGTGATATGACGAGGCTAGGAGACAATTTCAGAAACGTAGAGAGCGGACGTTCTTGTAGTATCGTGTTATCTCAATGAGAAAACTTTGAGAAGTGTCTGAAGTTATAGGATCGAAGGATGTATGATCTCTTTGTTGGCGAGGCAGGGTGAACAAAGGAAGTTCTTGATGCTAACAAAAGTGACCAACGATTGTGTGTGGCCTGTAAACCAAACGATCAGTATTTAATCCGGTTGATAAATAACGGGATAAATAAACTGCCATTATAACGACCAAGTGGTATTGGCAATGTCGCTACTGATGTATAGTGTGTTGACTGATTCTATTGTTCTAGTCCATTCGTCACTATAATAATTACGAGCAAACATTGGCATTGGCGAGATTAATTTACATTTAGTTTTTTTTCTATAGCTACATAGTTTGGTACACACAATAACACCCAGCATAGGATTATAACATTAAGAGGGCACTTTCCTGTCTAATTAGTTGTGTAGGCTTACAATAGAAGTATATTCACATTTCACCCTTGATATTTTGTAGATATTTGGGAGTGATGAGCGCTATACCAGAACGGATATTATAGTATTATTTTGTTAATTATTATGATTATTATTATTACTATTATTATTTTTATTATTATTATGATGATGCTGATGATGATTATAATTATTATCATTATTATCATTATTTTTATCATAACTATTTGTATTTATTTTATCTATTAGGGTTTTATTTCCACATTAACTGCATATGAAAAGATTTACAAAGTAAGGCATATACAAGGTAACAAAACATGTACATAATAATATATTCGATAGATACAACAGTAAAAAAAAAATGATTTAATGGCAAGTCATTAAATACAAATGATGCTAACATTAATCTGCAGTAACGAGGAGGAAACCTTGGAAGCATTATGCTTGTTATTAAGGTTCCCTTTACATAATACGCTTTTTACATACTATATATATAAAACAAAAAACAAAACAAAACAAAAGAAAAAAAACGGGTGTGTGGTGCAGCCAACCAACAAGTGTTGATAATACCGATGGTCTCCATCATGATGACTTTAAGCATTTTCATACTGAAGTAGAAGTTTATGTTTCAAGTGATACTTAACAGTAATTAAACTAGGCAGCTGTTTGAGTTCCAGTACACCGGACCAGTATAAATCAAAGTTCTTTTTTTTTATAGTAAAGTTCTCAGTTGTGTAAGTGTAAAAAGGAAGACTGCCGGGTTGGATAATTATGAAGTTGCTGATTCTTTTGGAATGTCGAAGTGATGGCATGAAGAAGTTTGTTATAATTTAATCGAAACATAAACAGCCTAAAAAGAAATTGTAAAAGTCATGAACTTTCAACATTTTATTTTCTAAAAATAAACTATTAGTGTGACTTAACCTATTAGTGTGGCATGATTATTCGTATGACGCGTTTTTGAAGTATCAATAATTTGTCCAACTGGTAATGAAACGAATTCCCCCATGCAAGTATGCCATAGTTAAGACTTAAGATAAGGCAAGATAAGCGTCGAGTACAAACTTTTCCAAATATACTTAGGAAACGACATTTTTAATTTATTGATTATTCCAATGTTCCTTGATAGTGTTGTTCTTTCCAAGAAAGTTTACCCCCCCCCCCCCCCGATCGACTCCCTCCCTTATATATTATTATTATTACCATTATCATTATTATCATTGTTGTTATGATAACTATTATTATTTGTATGAGGAAGTTGCTCTAACAACTAACCGACCCCCCCCCCCCCCCTGATTGCTGATTCTTTTGGAATGTCGAAGTGATGGCATGAAGAAGTTTGTTATAATTTAATCGAAACATAAACAGCCTAAAAAGAAATTGTAAAAGTCATGAACTTTCAACATTTTATTTTCTAAAAATAAACTATTAGTGTGACTTAACCTATTAGTGTGGCATGATTATTCGTATGACGCGTTTTTGAAGTATCAATAATTTGTCCAACTGGTAATGAAACGAATTCCCCCATGCAAGTATGCCATAGTTAAGACTTAAGATAAGGCAAGATAAGCGTCGAGTACAAACTTTTCCAAATATACTTAGGAAACGACATTTTTAATTTATTGATTATTCCAATGTTCCTTGATAGTGTTGTTCTTTCCAAGAAAGTTTACCCCCCCCCCCCCCCCCGATCGACTCCCTCCCTTATATATTATTATTATTACCATTATCATTATTATCATTGTTGTTATGATAACTATTATTATTTGTATGAGGAAGTTGCTCTAACAACCCCCCCCCCCCCCCCCCCACCCCCCCCCCCCCCCCCCCCCCCTTATATTATATGTTCGGAGTTGATTTTTAATCAGCTGTTGCAATGTACACGGACACTAGCAAAGGGAAGTCCCCGCGCGCTGCTGTGGACTACTGACTCCGTACGTGTTACACGTTGCACTCGTACTCACACTGCACAGCATGCCATGGTAGTTCAAACTTCAAAGAATATCTAGAGAAGAATAACTTTCGCATGATGGCAAATTATACACATTTTTTGCAAACTTTGACAGTAATAATCTGCATGTTATGCAGCTTGTCGAAGCAGGATAGCATGTACACCGAGAGATTCCTTCCTACGTTTGACCCCGTCGTTGTTGTGAATGATCATTTGTCGTCATGTTCGGCCAAAAATGGAAAAGAAGTCCCTTCCAGTTGTCAACAATGGACAACTCTGAAATCTTCTCAAACCATGGATGGCCGCCTCGTCAAAATTGTTGATGATGTTTTGGACTTTCGGTTGATGACCTCATTACAGGAGTATTCAAATTTGGTTTCTCAATGGGAGTGAGTTTGTCAATAACACTTTAATTGTCATTAATGCGAGGCTGTAGCTGTAAAACTAAAAGTTGGACAAATTTGCAACTGATATTTGCAAATTGCAATCAATTGTACTAATTGTAACTCAACTTTCTTGCAACGCAACGCCCCCTAGTCACATACTACTAATCTATTGATAGACATGCATACTAGTATAATTATACTGCATACCTAACTGTGCCTACATCAGGTACAACTAGTGCGGTAATCATCACTTCATGAAGCCTGCACTTTTCAGGTAGAAGCAGTTATGAAATGATAGTCAACAAATACTCATTGCCATAATTATGCTGCCAAACAAAAAAATAAGTATTGAAGTATAAAATAACATACCGTTAGATGGCATGCAAAAACAAGTTAATGAAAATATGGTTTCTCAACTGGGTTGATAAATGTTGACCAGATTACCTGACTGTCGAATAGATTTTATTTTCATTTTAAATTTACAATAATGATAAATAATAATAACAATGCATTCATATAGCTCATTATGGTAATTATTGACAAAATATAATTTATTGTCAAATTACAAGGTGAGTTAAACAATTTTAGTGGTAGATCGAGAGGATTCGAGACCCTATTTTTCATGCGAGCAAAATATTTCAGGTTCATTTTTGAACGAAGGACCACTCAATGAAACGACCCGAAGTTTCAACAGGATCACCACGCACTTTCGTATACTGATGCTGATGCTGATGTTTGTCTACTAGAGTTGTCTACATGTAATTGTTCAATAACCAAATTATGATTTTACGAGACCTAGGTCAAAAGATAAATCCTTTATATCCCCTCAAAAGAAAAAAGAAAAGAAAAAAATAAATCATTTAAGTTTATGTTTCATTTTCATTCTACCTCTTTTTTCCAACTCTTAGATAATTTTATGTACATGAGCCTCATTTACACTATTGATAAATTATGTCTTTTCATTGAATATTTAGATTCAACAGTGGGGATGGTCCTAGTCCCTGGTCTACGTCTTTGGATCCAGGACCATTTGAGAACTCTGCCGTCCTATCTGTCCTGAGAGGATTAGTCTCATCAGCAATGGACGTCGATGAAACTGTTCTCAAGCCTTTCAGTATCTCGATGCATGTCTTTCGAAGGTACAGTGATTGGCATCAGGGGTAGATTTAGGACTGTCTGATCAGAAAGGGTGAGGGAGGGGAATGTAGTAATTTCCAACGTGATGGTTTTCCCATAGTGGAAGGCAGAAGGGGGTTCGGGGGAGGGGGGCTGATTTGTGATTTTATAGTGGGGCTACAGTATGTCATGGACTAGAAATTGCTGACAGGTACAGTGATTGGCATCAGGTATAGGATTGTCTGATCAGAAAGGGGGGTGAAGTAGTTTCTAACAGTAATTTTTCCCAAAGCTCTCAGTATCTCCATGATTTTGGAAGATAAATGGTGATGGACATATAGGGGGCAAATTCAGGATTGGGGAACAGGAAGGGGCAAAAGTTTTGTAGCAGTCATTATTTAGCAGGGACACTACACAAGTCAGAAAAATATTTGAGAAAAAAAAGGGAGAAAAGCTCTCACTTCTCAGGTGTTAATTGTCACTTTTGTTTCTCCCCACATCTCTGATTGTCTTTCTGATGATCTGGGAGGAAGGGTGTGATTTTATAGTTGGACTATTTTTTTTGGGGGGGGGGGGGGGGTCTGTGGACTTGAATTTGCTGGAAATTTAATTTTTGTGGAACCAGACAAATTTCATGAGTGGACGTGTAAACTCGTAATATCCTAAAAATCATTTTAAACTCCCAATCTGAGCTTTGGCATTCATGCAAATTATAAAACCTTTGCATTCACTTTTACTTTTCAGAGGAGACCATGTTGCATTGACAAGGGACAATACTGGTGTAGAGAAGGAGTACTCTTTAATACTCTATTTCAATCAGTACTGGCGCAAGAATGACTACGGTGAACTCCTGTTTTATGATGATAACAACGATACTTTCACAGCCCTCAGTCCTAAGTACAACAGAGCAGTGGTGTGGGATAGCTCAATTGGTAAGAGTTTGATTTTGTTTATTTTCCAGAGTTTTCCATTGTAAAGAAAATGATAGAGAGGAAAATGTGAATTCAGGGGTGGTGTTTCTGAAATCTGAAAAAATGTTATTCCTTTATGTTAGCAAAAGAATGTTTATTGTCATCTCAAATCAAAAGTAGGACAGGATATGGATGGTGAATGATGTCCGTACAAAGCTGACTACATTCACGTAAAGCTAACATTGTTTTTATAACATATTAAAAGACAACAAAGTCACTTGTTCAGAATGTGACCCCTTTGCTGGTATTTGGTTAATTTAGTGTTAGGGTTATATGGGCAAAGAACTGCTGTGCCAATTCTAAGTAATCTTAGTGTATGGAATCGTTGTTAGAATTAAAAGGCAAGAAGAAGTTTGAAAACCTTTATGAAAGATATCACAAGTTAAGAAGCTTATTTTTTATACTTTTAAGATGGGGTTGATTTTAACAATGTTTAAAACTAGGATATAAGGTTCAATTTACTTGGCCATAAATGTCTGCATTATACTAACTCAGTTTAACCCGACCTGGGTTCTAACTTCTAAAATCATGTTTAACAAGGAAAACTTGGGATATGTATTGCACAAAAGCTTAAACACAGCATCGGGTTTGAATATAGGCCTATTTACGTTCCAATGTTGAAAATGTTATTCAATTCCACATTGTCTTGGAATTGCCGAGCATCCCCGATAAAGTCAGAGATGTTGCTGTTTTAAAGATAAAGATGAGTTCTGGTCATCCGATTGCATTGTGAAAGAAAAGGTGTGGAATGGATCAGAAAAAGTTGATCATGTAGCATGTAAGTATTGGCGTGTACTGCAAAGTTCTGGAGTCATCAAAATCATAATAAATTTGGCCCAGTCTTGGTAAAGTAACAAGCACGGTACACAGAAAGATGTATATGGGACTGCCAAATGGTGTCGGGGCTACTAACCTTGATTTCCTGATCTTTCTATGCTCATTACTCAGCCAGTATAAATTTTCTACCAAAATTGTTTGGCAAATGACATTTATTTGTAATCTAGCTTGAATATTCAGTGTAAGTTTCGTTTGATTCTGTGAGAATTCATCTTCTTTTTTTACCTTTATCTTTATTCTAGGTTACATCATGAAGCCCCCAAGCATGGACTTCAAGCAAGGTATGATGTGCCTCAGGGTCAGGTTTACAACCAATGCAACGAAAGAGAGCAAAGCGAGGCAGCGAAGAGAACTCCATTTTGAGGAGAAGATGAAAGCTAGGGAAACGCTTTTCACTGAGATGAAAGGGTCAGAGGTCAAAACAGTTGAAGATGTGGCAAATTGTGTGACAAAGGTGAGATAATGTTCAGCATGCATTGTAGGAGGAGAAAGAATTGGGTACTTTTGTTCGCCTTCTTTTTTCATGGTCCACCTTTATCCCACTTAGTGCAGATCTTTTAATGGCTTAATTCATCAGGTGTTTTTTCACATTTGCTAGCAGGTTGATATGGTTTCTTCTTTTGCTGAATTTGTTCATATTGGGTCATGTAAAGTTCCTAACTTTGTAGTTTGTAACCTTAAGGAATTATTCATTTTGTAATTATTTTGTATCTCTATGATTGTTGGTGCTTTTCTGTGATCATATTTTTAAATGATTTTAGCAGACATTAAATGCCTTGAGCACCATCTGGATGGATATCTTGCATGTTATTAATGTCTGCATTATCATTATTATTGATAAATATGTAATGTTGACTTATTTCTGCTATTGGCTTGTGAAATGATGTTATATATGTCCATTTTTATCTCATAAGTTTATAGGTTATATCATTTGATGTGATGTGATGTCAATACAGGGCATCATTTATTTGTAAAAGTAGCTCCTGTGAAGTTTGGTAAATGTTGGTTATTGTTGTTTTGTGTTGTCTAAATTTTTAATCCTAGAATTACACGACCTCCCAAGGTAAAAGGCTTTACATCTTTGATGGACTCTTCAATGCAGATGATCTGATGAAACTGAGAGAATTTGTACCTAAGCATGGTAAACATATTCAGTAGTCATATTTTGGGGAAAACTAGGATTACAGAAAGTGATAAACACACGGATCCCAGTTGAGGCTGATCATGCATTTTCAATATATATTCATAAATGAATAGATGATCTGTGAAACACTGAGGGAAGAAAAGCACCATTGACTCCTAACAGTTGAACCATGACTTGAGAGACTACATTCACCTATTAGGGGTATACTAGTACAGTCAAACCTGTCTATAGCGACCGCCTTAGGGACACACAAATGTGACCGTTGTAGACAGGTGGTCTTTGTAGACAGGTGGTCACTAAAGCAGGTTTGACTGTAGTAATGATCCCTTGTGAAAACTTTACAGACAGAATAATTCTCTAATTGCATTTTCTGTTTAAATTACGTTTTTTTTGTTTTGTTTTGCTTTGCTTTGTTTTTCATTCCTGTTTCAGTTCTGGGGATTGTTTGTTCCAATTGTATGTTTGCAAACCATGGATTATTATGAGGTGAAAAAGATATGAATGGAATGATGACACTGAAACACATGTATTAAAGCATTGAAAACTGAGAAGTATCAGCCAAAAGATGGCGGGAAAAAATTCAAAACTGAAAATATCAGCTCAAAGAGGGCAACAACAAAAAATTCAACAAAAAAATTCTGACCGACTGACCCATGTTTTGGCGCCTAAAAGGCAATACAACAAGTTTTTATTTTAGGCCTAATTGTATGAAAAATAGAACATGGCATTTGTTATAGAGTCACATGTACAATGTCTACCTTTTCTCATCTCAGGAAAGTTTTACTTCGATGACAGTCTAGACCTAGACAGTGACAACGTACAGTGGATAGCAGGGTTTCCTATTGATAGCTATGTTCAAGGAAAGATGTGGACAGCTACTCAGAAGGTTGCTGAATTTGTGTCAGGTGAGATGCACTCCCACTTTACCGGTATTACAAATTTGATCACTTAGACCCATGATAGCCATACATTGTCTTTTGTAATCTGCTGAGGATACATGATACATGAAGTGTTGTGGTCTGGTGAATAAGTCTTTGGACTGTGGATCACAGGATCCGCAGTTCGAGTCCAGCCACAGCACTAATGTCCTTTGGCAAGATGTTAATCTACATTTGCCTAGCAGAGCTGAGGTAATAGTTTGAGCGCCTTGAGCACCATGCATGGTGGATATGTGCGCTATATAAATATCCAATATTATTATTACTATCATGAAGATTGTCATGAATTGTGAGGTCATGGGGAAGGGGCAGAAGTTCCTTGTCTCCGAGACCTAGTCATTTTCTATAACACTCATTGGCCACTTATAGACACTTGGACAATGTTTTCCATATACCGGTAGTGCCTCCTGCAATCTTTATATGATAAGAAACTAAGTTACATGAGGACTGTGAAGTCAACAAAATTGAGTGGGTGTTCTTTGTTTTCATATACCTTCAGGCCTGATAAAAACCCAATTTAAATCGGTTTCCTGATTTATTTATTTGTCCTGATTTTTTTTTTTTTTTTTTTTTTTTTTTTTTAACCTGATTATTATGATTTTTTCCCCCAATTTTTCCTGTATTTTCTCTATTTTCCCCTATTTTTCCCTATTATTTCCCAATTTTTCTTTCTCAAAAGGGGGGAATGTTGTTAGATGCCATTTTTCCCCTGAATCCTCTTCTTCTTTTTTTACTCAAGGGGGGAGTGGTTGAGGGATTTTTTTTAATTTTTAAAGCAACCCTGTAATTTATACTTTTCGTGAACTTATCTTGTTTCTTAGATAGTAGCTTACTCTTTTATGCTTATTGACAACCTATTCAGATACTGACCAGTGGTATCCTTACGATATCTCCTGCAACCTGCTCAGGACCTATGATCAAACCAGGATACATGAGGACTGTAAGGTCAAAGAAGAGGAGTGGACAAATCTTGTTTTCAAGACCTAAACTCTTTCTTTTACTCTCGTTGACCAGGTACTGACCAATGGTATCCTTAGGATATCTCCTGCAACCTGCTCGGGACCTACGATCACACCAGGATACATGAAGACTGTAAGGTCAAAGAAAAGGAGTGGACAGATCTTGTTTCCAAGACCTTAACTCTTTCTTTTACTCTCATTGACCAGGTACTGACAGATCTTGGTCCCAAGACCTAAACTATTTCTTTTACTCTCATTGATCAGGTACTGACCAGTGGTATCCATACGATGTGTCTTGCAACCTGCTCAGGACCTACGATCACACCAGGATACATGAGGACTGCGAGGTCAGAGAGAAGGAGTGGACATTCCTGGTGTACTTGACCGATGACTGGAGCGAGGACAAGTACGGAGAAACGACCTTCCTGCACTTCCATGGCCACGATTCTGAACCGGTCATCAGTAAGTGTAAACCGTTTATTTTGTGAGTAGCAATCCATCTTTGCAGCAAAAGCACTAGCTTAGAGATCACATGGTATGGCCATGTAAGCTTTTTAAAAGAGGAGACAGAGTTAGTGAATCGCTAGCTTCAACCCAGTACCCAACCTTATACCTGTAACTGATGATCCAAAACCTGACATAAACTAGATCACAACCCAATTGCATCCCATACCAGAATCCTTTCTCTTTGACCAAATAAAGCCTGGAGCAGCCCATTGCTAGTAGGGCAAATGTTTGATCACTGGAGGTCTTCTATAAACATTTGGTCTTTCTTTTCATGTTAAGATTGTCAATCAATCATGTTTCTTGTTATTAAATCACTTCTTGTTTGTTTACTTGTAGGTGTCTTGCCTAGATTTGGAAGAGTTGTAATCTTTGAAGGCATTATACCTCACTCAGCTCGTCCTCCTAGTCCCACGTATAGAGATTCAAGGTACGTGTCTTAAGAGTCGTTTGCACTGCTTCAAAGACCAAAAGCACCAAATCGTATTACGCCATTTTTCTCTTTTGTGGAATAAGCCATATTTTATCTTTCTTCTGAAAATACTTGATTCGCTATTATTTGGTTGTTCAATGTTATGTTATGATTTGTTGTTATATTGTTATATTGCATATTATTGTAAGCGCTGTTATATATAGTTTACTATGAATAGCATTGCTAAATGCCCTATAATAATGATGATAATTTGAATTCCATTTTCTTCCATTTTGCTTTAGGTTGACTTTTGTAGCCAAGCTGTCAATCAACGAGTGGGTTGCTAGGGTCAAATCTCTGAAGACTGAGTTTGGTCACGAAGAAGGAATACATCAATTGTGCCTAGGACACTTCAAGAGCTATAATGTGAGTAATAATATTATTGCTGCTTATAAGTATCAGCTTGCATGGTGATGTAGATATATGTAGATGTAGATACATGGTGATGCAGATATATCCTCCCCGCTCTCTCACATGGTGCTACCGTAAGCCTACCGTATAATAATAATATTCTGTTCTTGTATAGCACATAACTTATTATGATATAACGTCCCTATGCGCTTCCAAAGATCTTTTGAAATTATTACCCTAGCTTTAGCTCTGGCAGCCATTATCAGCTAAGGAATAATCCTACCAGGTTCCCAATTAAATCTGTCCCGAATTTTACGATGATAAATTCCATATTTAGAATACTAAGGCAATTGAAGAGTCATATTTTTCAGGGAACATTTTTTATCTGATGTTTTTGCAATTGCATTTAATACAAATAATTTTTCACCTCTTCCAAGAAATCAACCTTCTCTTTAAGTATCCCAAACGTGTAGAGCAATGTGTGCAAATCAAGCGCTAAATCAAATATCTTTTGGACTAGATTGGGTTAGATTTGGAGACAAGGGTATATCACACAGCTGAGCATATTACTAATATGACGTACTACTCTCATGTACTATGAAAGAAAAGCAATTTTGATTTATTAGCAATCCAAAATGCAAGAAACCTTGTATTTTCATATTTTCAAAAATTATTGTCATGTTTTGCATTAATTTTCATACTTATTACAGGTTGATTTGTCCTTATGTTCCCTATGCATCCAGCATAGCTATTGTCTAGGCTGTAGCACATTTCCTCCGCTGTTGATTAAAAGGCTGGTAACTGCCATTGGCAAAATATATAGCTGTCATGGCCTTGCCGGCAGCCGATGATTTAAAGGTGCTCCCACTTACATATACTGTATGTGCTTATCTAAGAAAACCATTATATACTAAAACTACCAATGTTTCACAGTCATCCAGGGCATGGTCTCACGAAACCATCATTAGAACACTGTACCAGTTCAACGACATCTAATTAAAACATGTGTGTTAATTGTAATACATATGTTTTACTGGGATGTTGGTGAACTTGTACTTGGTTCGATAGTTTCGTGAAAGGATGCCCTGGTACTTGTCTGCAAACCATGAGATATACTGGTACTGATTTTTCTAGGCGGCACAAAAACAGTCCATACAAGCAATAATTGTTTTTACTCTGATATTATGTCCCTATGCTATTGAATTCTGAACCATTTTGAATCTTTATCTGACAGGATAAGCATTATGAAGATCATTACAAAGAAAGGCTCCTCGAGAATGCCCAAGAATTGAGAGAGTTGAATCAGGCATTAAACAAACGCTTCAGGCCGGACGCCGAACATAGTGACGATGATGACGACAATGATGACGATGATGATGACCGTGATGATGATGATGATCAGGAAGAGGATGAAGAGCAGATGGAATATGATGAGCCGTCATCCTTCGATGATGAAAGTGAGTAGATTATATATTATTAACAAACTAGCTGCTAACCATTTCCATTTTGGGTGGGTAAGGATTTCTATTGTTTGGCTTTCAAATCTGCTACGGTACATCCTTTCTTACTATAATCTTACCTCAGTATGCTCTGATATTTCCAATATTTCCAATGGAAACCCATTATTTACCAACTTAGCTGTTTTACTTTAATGTCAAACAAGGAGTTTTACATTCAGGATTTTTGTTTGTAAATTGCTAACATCAACCTTTTTCTTGGCAATAATCTTTACAGCAAATTGCAAAAATGTACTGTTATTTTTTAAATTCTATCATCTGCATCTTTAATTTGTCAAGCATCTGGATTACCGGTACTTAATTATTAAAATTATAATGCACTTGAAAAGTTCTCTATTTAATAGTGCTGTCGTGAAAAGAACCTTACCTACAAATTAATGGTCATTTAAATTCAGCTTTTGTGTGTATTTTCCTCTTCTTATCCGTCAGTGCTGCTGGAAGTCAAAAGGAGGCGAGACTATGTGTATGGACTGTTTGCCGACCGTTCTCAAAGCATCGAGACTCTGAGGAAGCATTATAATCAGTGTTTGATGGATGCCCGCATAGCAAGACATAAATACGTAGAGCAAATGGAAAAGTTGATTTAAAATGGAGTATGCATAGAATGACCATGCAGTATCTCATAATTTGGGTGTGTTAAATTTTTTGTTTTTACCTGATTGCTAAGAAAGCATGTGTATGCTTGTCAGTACGCAACCAGGCCAGAGGACCAACAGCTTTAAGTCCTATTCGAGGGACTTCTTGATGAGGACTTAGTTTTGAACCTGGGACCTCCTGGTTAATACAAGACCACTGCTCTACCACTGAGCCACCCCACCTCCTTTCACCTTCATTATCATTTTCCTTGAACAATCAAGTTCATTAAAAAAAATCATTTATATAACAGATTTATTACACTACAGTATTTTGTCTACATAGATATTTTTTATTTAGAATTAAATGCTTTTTGATATGCTTTGTGATGTTTCACACTAATTGATGGTTGATGGTTTAACTGAAATAAACAACTAAAAAGATATACTTATAATATGTTTGAGATGATACTTACATGTTAACATCTTTGATTTTAATGATATACAGTCAAACCTGTCTATAGCGACCGCCCAAGGGAAACACAAAAAGTGGCCTTTGTAGACAGTCTTTGTAGACAGGTTCCTTTAATACATGATTCAATGAGAAACCATTTTCAAGGGAAACAAACAATGTGGCCTTTGTAGACAGGTGGTCACTAAAGCAGGTTTGACTGTATTAATGTTGATATATTGCCTTATCTTTCATTCCATATCAGAAAGACAGTACTATGTTTTTATATGTTTTTTATGTCATAATTATGTAACTCTGAACACTGTATATATTTATTTTGTTATCATATCAAAAAATATTTGAATATGTTGGAATGGGGAGATACAGTACTAAATTTATATAGTGTTGGTTTTTAATGGGTGAACATTATGTGAGTCCTATAAAGCTAGTGTTGTGAACAGAAATTTGTTTATGTGATGTTTTTGTATTATAGAATATTACATAGTAATAATAATAACATTCCGCTTTTATGTTGCGCTTAATACATCAATGATGTCTCTAAGTGCTTTACAGATATATTATAGTAGGTGAAATTCTTATGGTATTGGCCCGTAATTTCCAGGTTCCCTGTTTTACTCTAGTGATGACAGAACACAAAAAGTGACAGACTCTTACACTGATCTTTGTAAGTTAACGCCATGTGTGTGTGTGTAATTGGGTTTTTACAGTTGTATATCGATCAGATATGATTATTTACGTCTGGGGACCGACCTTTAACATCACCATCCGAAAGACATGACACAGTTTCGTACCAGGGTCTGCCTAAGCCAGTTTTTAGGCAAAGACAAGGAGCCGACCAAGTGAATGTGCCGCTAGGCTAGACCAACTCATCTTTCCCTATGTTGAATTCTCAACAAGCCTCATTCTGAGTACTTTTGCATGAGACATATTTACATCTCGTCACAATGTACCATGTTGAAACAATTTGTTCTTGACATTTTTTCATTTAGATATTTTCTAGGAAGAAAAGTAAGATCCTTATTTCTTGCAAATAATTAAACATGGTGCTCTTTCATTAATTCTTGAAAATTTTGTTTAAATCTTTCAAGTTTACTAGCTTTCATATGTTATACATTATAATGTGTTTAATTTGTGGAAAATAAAAACAAAAACTAATCTACCTGACTTCAAAGATATGGACAGAATTTGTTTTCTTCTTTCTTTTTTTTCATTTCACAATTTGAAGAGGTGCATGAATTCACTCAGCCTCTGTTAAGAGCCCAGGGTGTATTTACTCTGATACAGAAAAGTTTCATTGGTTGGCCTGGGTAATTATTACCAACCTTGATATTTTGTAGGCAATTTAGCTTTCGTTCACTGTAGAGTATCTCAAGCCAAGTGACTATTCACAGAGTTTCAATCTGTCTGCTGCCTTGAGATCACTGGAGCGAAGATAGGTGACAATGAATAGCCAGAGTCCCTAGCTATTCAGTGAAGGATTGATCTGTTGGATTATATTGGATTCTTTGACCTTTCTTGACCAGAAGTGTTTGTGTCCATGCCATTCAGTCAGGGAAGAGAGAGAGGGTGAGGAAGAGATAGGGTGAGGGAGAGAGAGGGTGAGGAAGAGATAGGGTGAGGAAGAGAGAGGGTGAGGGAGAGAGAGGGTGAGAGAGAGAGAGAGGGGGAGTTGATGGAGGCAGGGGCGGATCCAGCCGGCGGCAGGGGAGGGGGCCCAATTTGTAAGAAAATATTTAGCGGCGAAACAGCCGGCCAACAATTCGCATAGTGGAGGGGGGAGGGGGGGTAGTGAGCACTGAGCACTATGCTTCCGAAAATTTGAAATCGTGTCGGCCGATAATTCGCTCAGGCCCCCCCCCCCCCCCCCCCCCCCCTGTTTACGATTCTATTCCATATGGTGTTTTAATTATTATGATAATCAGAATGGTTTGATTGTCATGCACATAATCAAGGACCTAAGGTTACCGGTTTACGATTCAATTCCACATGGTGTTTCAATTATTATGATAATCAGAAAGGTGTGATTTTGTCGTGCACATATTAAATCAAGAACCCAACGTAACCTGTTTACAATTCTACTATTCCAAACGGTGTTTTATTGAAGCTTGTTTTATATGCTAAGGATATAATCAATCCATCGGAGTGAAAACATGATTGGAATTAGTACATACAATCCATGATTGTGCAAATCGATATCTGGGGCAGGCAACGTTCGGTCAGATTTTAGCTTTATATTCAAACAACGTTTTGCGTAACTTTTTAAAGTTTTGTTAACAACAAAAAACATAGACGCCCTGTATATATTTGAAATGTTGGTTTATTTTGCTGAGAGAATATAAACAAATTGTTGCTGAAACATGTTGAAGAAAAATGGTCTAATGGAAAAAGGAATAGATTACACTTTTCTGCTCATTATTGAATACAGGGAGGGGAAGTCCATCCTGATATTAGGCCAGTAACATTTCAACAACAAAAAACAAAAAATAATAGGAGGCGGCCCCAAAAAGAAAGCGGACGGGGACGCTAAACATGTATTTTTTTTTAATGGCCTTAAGTTAGCTTCATTAGAAGCAGAACAATAATTTTGGTTTTCTGTTGTAAGCAGGAAATCTAAATTTTGTATTCTTTCATCAATATTCGACTTTAAACGCATTTGTTTTAAAAACCCTTGCAGAAATCTTGAATTAGATCCTCTTTAACATTCTGATACAATTTGAGTCAAATTTTGCCATCAAACTTTTGGGGCTCCCAACGCTTAAAGCTTATCTGCCGTAGTTTAGGGATTAGACCGCTCTGCAAGGTCACTGGACATGTGGTTATCTCATCAACTCAGCTCTCAGTTAACATAAGAAAAAGAGGATCATGGGGGACCAATGATCACCGATTCTGCATTGTTTGTTATATAGAGGGCGCAAGTAGCTACCAGTAGTGCAGTGGGACTTTAAGAGGCTCTACAGTGGAGGTAGGAACGATGAGAGGAAGACAAACTTGTGGAAGAATTCAGTTAGAGAGGCAAGGTGATAAAAAGAAATGATAGTTTAACAATGTCCCTCTAAATCACGGCAGTCAACAACCAAAAGCTTCCAATATCCAATTTTTCAGGTTGTACATTTGCCTTTATAAATGAAGAAGAAAAAAATGTGAAGGGTTCTTCAATTTTCACAAATGCCATGTTATTGAACAATTTCCAATAGAGGAATAAATAATTATTGGATACACTAAACGTAGAGCTACCTTAAATTGAGGTTAAAGTCAACTTTTGGACTATATTTTATGATAATTATACTTAATAGGTATAATACATGTAGTTATAATCCAAAACAATAAATTCAGGAATTATATTCACTTTAATCATAAGATAAAACAATTAACAATTAAGTTTTGTCAACAACTTTCATATCCACTCAAATAACCATCTGTTTTCTCTATTTCTTTTATTATCCTTCTTCTTTTTCTTCTTCTCCTAGTTCTATAGCTATTTTTTTTTTTTCATTTTTCTCCGATCTAATTTTCTTTTTTTTTATAATTCTTATTCCTTATTTAATCTTTCTTCTATATTATATTTATCCCTGTTAATTTGTCTTTCTTTTTCTTTTTTCTCTCTTTCTTTAATTCTTTCTTTTTCTTTCTTCTTTAATTCTTTCTTTCTTACTATATGATTACTTTCTTACTTTTTCCTACCATTCTTTCCTTTTCTGTTTTTTCTTGCCTCGAACAGCTGTGTGGCCGCTGGCTGCAGTCGGGAAACCCCCTGCAACCCTCTTCCACCCCCCCCCCCCCCCCCCCCCCCCCCCCCCACCCCTTACCTCCGCCGGGCTGTAGTACCGTAGTGGACAGAACCAGACGCAGAAATACTACCAACAACCAACAATACGGGACTCACTCCGCTCCACGCACGTACACCTGTTGGCTCTTCTAAAACAAAACTGCTGTTTCATGCACTGCTAATACATGATTATTGTGAGTATATACAATTTGGTCCTTTATCATTTTTTTAATTACAAACTGCATAACTGTCGGACTAACTTTCTTCGACTAAATCTTACTGGATCCCATATGTAAAAGTCAGTAAAGTCAATGATCTCGATCGTCTCCCATCTTTATTGCACAGGTACCATTACTATCAGTACTGCACTGTTTGATGAAAGAGGTTCCGTGTGTAGTTACTACCGGTAGTTGGAATGGAGATTCCAATGACTATTTTTTTTTCCTTCTATATTTATGTTAATCTTTCATCGTGTTTGATATTTCAATCTAGTATTCTTTACCTCTATGTATAAAGTATTGCAAACTATCTGTCTTGCTCTTCTTGTCATATGTTCTTATAATAAGTTATAACTCGTAATTAATGTAATTTTTTTAAATATTTGTTTCTGTATAAAACTATAATGTTAGTCTCCTTTTCATTGATGCGTGCTGTATTTACTGTTCAATTTATCGCTATTTTATAATTGCAATTTGTCTATATATATTTATATGTCTTCATGATTGATCAATTGGACAAACAAACAAATTTTTCCTAATCTATATTAGTACATTTTACATATTTTGTTAAATATATAATAATTTTCAACCTTGTGGGTGCTGCGTATAAATAGTCTGTTAACATGGTTAGATATTTTTATCAATTGAGTATGATACTCTCTTATAAATTGTCTCACAGAAAGAGTTGGACACAGAACTTGACAGAAGGTCAAGATGATCCTTGTTGCTCTCCACCTTCTTCAGCTGATAGCTGTAACCCTTGGAGGAGAAGACATTCCTGAAGGTCACTTAAAACCCTTTGGTCATCATCGACCACCAGACGTGATCATCGATGAGCTCTACGACCTCCCAGACCCGCAGACCTTCTGGGACGAGTATGTCTCTTTGGAAAAAGCCGCCATCTTTCGAGGAGCTGCCGCTCGTAGTCCTGGCTTCACCCTGTGGACTGAGGAATACCTGAGTGAAGCGTATGGAGACCTTGAGGTTAGACTGGAAGGCAAGCATGAGAGAAACAGTGGTATTCCCGTCGGAGAGAAAGGCCTGGGTCGGGATACTCTACGTAGCTTTCTCAAGACATTCCGCGACCAGGACACCTACATCGTCTCCGAGCTGCCGGAGCCAATGTACAAAGACTTCTACATCCCTCCGAGCATCTCATGCGGGAACATGCGCAACCGCCTTGTCGAGATTGACCTATGGATGAGCTCCGGAAACACACACAGTATCGTCCACAAGGATGCCTTCAACGCTGTCAACTGCTTGATGAAGGGCACCAAGTACTGGAAGCTGATCGAGTACAAGTACGAGAAGTGGCTCTACAAGACATGGGAACCTAAGAGGGAGATAGGAGGCAACTCACAGGTCGACCCACACAGCATCGATCTGCTTAAGTATCCTGATGTCGCCAAAGTCAGATGGTCCAACATCACAATCAATGCAGGAGATTGCCTGTTCCTACCAAAATGTAATTACTTTCTTTCTGTGGTCATTACCAATATAAATCCTAATTAATGAAAGTAAGAATGAATATTCTGATCTTGTTGATATCACATATATTATTAGATTATGTTGTAATGTTCAATTCATTTTTTTTTTTTTTAACACATTAAAATCTATTCACTTACTCCTACTACTAGGCTGCATGGTTTACAAAGGGGCCTAAAACAAAGACATTGAATACTTTTAAAGGAACTTTTCAAAATCATCAACCCTGTTGTAGCTCCAGCAACTTTATGAGTACCGGCAGTGCATTTTAAAATATGAATCCTCTCTGGTAACATATATACCTGGATGGAGTCTGGCAAATATAGATTAATCTGTTGACTTCTGATTTATGTCATTGTTAGAAGGCTGTGTCCCGGAACCACCAGATTCCAGTAGCCTAGGCAATGGGCCAATCGTTTCTTCCCATTTAATAGTTAACTATTGACATAAATCTTCCTATGAAAAGGATTACAAAGGAGAATTTTTCATATTTTAGTAGTCATGCTATTCTCTTTTCTTGTGCCACCAATTCTGTGAAGTATGTTACAAAGTCACCTGTTTAAATAGGATTTAATAATGATATAAATAGTATGTAATGTTAAATTTGCATGTTTGGATTTAAGTATGACAGTACTTTTTTAAATGGGATATAATAATAATAATAATAATAATAATAGTAATGTTAAATTTGCATATTTGTACAGTATTTATTAAAATGGGATATAATAATAATAATTATAATAATGTTGAATTTCCATTTTTGAATTTGAGTTTCTGAAGAGAACTCCACCTAGTCACCACCCCTTTTTTGTTTCTGTTTGCTGATCAGCGTATTACCACCAGGTATCATCGGCAGGCGACCCCAACATGGCGGTATCCATTCTCTTCTCCAGGATCACGCAGTTCGACGATACAGGATGCAATGAGACTGATATTGACTTTACCCCTCTGAGCGAGGTGGACGTTTTATGGAGCTGGCCCGGGCATGGTATCATGAGTATGGGCAACTTAGATGTCTGGTTTTTAAAGTAAGTTTGTCGGTTAAGCGTTGTCTTTCTTTAGACTTGTTGCCATTGTTATTGCCAAGTACACTGCACTCATGCCTCCTAGATCTAACAAGTATTAAAAGTTAGAAATTTTGAGTAGAATTAAAAGTAGTCTATTCAAATAATGTAGATGTTTAGCATGTACCGTAACTCAATTCCATAGCATTGTCATCATCTATGTATTTAATATATAACCAGACATTTTTGGCATGCACTAAATGTTCACAAATTTCTTGTGTGGGGCCCTGCTTTTTAACTTTGTTTATCGATAACAATTAAATTTCTATGACAAGTTTGCTCCCAGCCAATCGAATGCCATGATTTCAGTAGCTTTGACATCTATAATTCTTTAACCACTAGCACTCCTATTTTTCTTATTTTTAAAAATTTAGAAAAATCCTGGCTGTCGATGGTCATATATTTGATAAGAATATGAAAGGAATATAATAGGAATATAGTAGGAATATGAAAATCATATAGTTTCACAGATTGCAATATCGCATCCCTGCTGTAATCATGACGATGCTATGCTTTCTATCTCCATGTACTCTATTCCAAATTTTCTCCAAACATCAATAATATCCACTTGCCCTACTTCAATCCAATCTCATTGCCCTGTTCATATCTGCTACCCCACTCATTCGTAAATTCTGAGCGTTCGACCCTTGGCCCAAAAACGTATTGCATGCTGGGTGACCACATTGCAAGGCAGAACTCGCTGATCAAAGTGAATACCATATTCGTAATTATAAGAGTATCGTCAATATTAACTTTACTATCACTTCTGTTTTATGTTAAGAGCTAACTACATTGACTTTGCAACGGAGCATGGACAAATGACAGAAGAGGACATAAGGAAAGACGTGGTCACAGCTTTCCCTGAAATGGAGAAAGAGGAGCTCAGTCAGTTTGTGAGCAAGGTTAGTCCTTTAATTAAAGCCCCTCTTAAAGCCCCACTGCACTTCTTATAGCTACTTACGCCCTCTATATAGCAAACATTATGCCTAATCTGTGACCGATGGTCCCCTTTTTCTTATGTTAATTGAGAGCTGATTTGATGAGATAACCACCAGTCAGTGACCATACAGGGAAGTCTAATCCCTCCTGGCCAAATTAGTGCATATAGGCTTTAAAGTGTTGGGAGCCCTAAAAATTTAATAGCAACATTCACTTAAATTGTATCATAATGTGAAAGAGGATGTCATTTAAGACACATTTCTACAAGTATTTTAAAAAACAAATGTGTTTGAAGTTGAATATTGATGAAAGAATACCACAATTTGGGTTTTCTGCATACAACAGAAAACCCAAATTATGTATTCTTAATTCTTTCATCAATATTTGTCTTTAAACACATTTTTTTTAGAACAATCTCCTTACATCCATAAACATCTAAAAACCTTGCTTGTTTATGGAAACCTTTCCCATATACTCCTATAGGCCTACCATATTGTAATTCTTCTTCTCTTTCTTCTTTCTTATTCCTCATGTTCTTCTTTTTGTTCTTTTTCATCTTGTTTTCTTCCTCCTTTTCCTTCTCTTTCTCTTACTCCTCCTTCTCATCTTCCTCATTCCCTTTCTCCCCATTATCCTTATTTTCATCTTCTGTTCTTCCTGTTTGTACTCCTTTTTCTTCTCCTCTTCCTTCTTCTTTTTCTCCTCTTCCTTCTTTTTCTTCTCCTCTTCCTTTTTCTTCTTCTCCTCTTCCTTCTTCTTCTCCTCTTCCTTCTTCTTCTTCTCCTCTTCCTTCTTCTTCTCCTCTTCCTTCTTATTCTCATCTTCCTCGTTCTCTTCCTCCTTTTCCTTCTCATTCTCCTTTTTTCTCCTCTTCCTTCTTCTTTTTCTCCTCTTCCTTCTTTTTTTTCTCCTCTTCCTTTTTCTTCTTCTCCTCTTCCTTCTTATTCTCCTCTTCCTTCTTCTTCTTCTTCTCCTCTTCCTTCTTTTTCTTCTCCTCTTCCTTTTTCTTCTTCTCCTCTTCCTTCTTATTCTCCTCTTCCTTCTTATTCTCATCTTCCCCGTTCTCTTCCTCCTTTTCCTTCTCATTCTCCTTTTTTTCTCCTCTTCCTTCTCCTTATTATTCTCCTTTCCAACCTCCCTCTTTTCCTTCTCTTTCTTCACCTATTTATTCTCCTCCTTCTTCCTTCTCCTTCTTCTCCTTTTCTCCTCCTCTTCCTTTTTCTTCTTCTCTTCCTCAGGCATGGAGAGTACTAGACAAATCAGGAAAGGGTTTTTTAACGACTGATGATATTAATGATCTGGACATCGACTCATGGAGAGAACATGTCATTAGTATGTTTGAAAATGAGCCCTCTAATACTGAGGAATTTGAGTACTTTATGATTGAGGCGGGATCAATTGAGTAAGTTCATGACATTCAGAATATATACAATTTTTTTTTAAATAAAGGTTTTGGTTAGCTTTTCTTTGCTTGTCTACATGTACAACTACAAGCTTCATCAGAAGCATTCTTTTACGCAATTAGTAAGAAATTCTGTTTTGGTTTACTGCACACTTGACGCAGGTGAGGTTCATGTATCCCAAGACCAGCCTGGCAGGAATCGATTACTTAAAATGCTTGGGGTGCTATAATAGCAGCCATGCTAAAGCCAGGATGATAATACTGGAGCACTGGGGGCCTGTTGCATAAAACTTTCTACTTATGGTAACTTTGCCATCAATACTACCCTAATTTTCATTGCAACATTACTCAAGAGCCAATCAATGTTTCTTTTGAAGTTACCATTAATGACAAAGTTACCATCAATGGTAAGCTAAATGCGATAGGGCCCAGGAGTGTGAAGTTTGACAAACAAGATTGCTTTTCATGAACCTGTAATTATTTTTTTTTTTAATTCTCCTTGCATGATTTAGAAACATTCTTGAGCGTCTAATGGATGCCTATCCTGATCAGATAACGAGGGGTGTGTTTGTCGAGCACTACACTACTCACCTGGGAGGTACAGAGGGATATGCAAATGAGGTAAGGAAATCATGGCCCTACGCAGGGTTCACAGCTATCCTGTAAATCAAGGAAAAGCTTGAAATAAGAGTTCCTTTTGTCCAAGTTTTGGAAAAGTCTGTAAATTGACAGAAAATTCACCCAAATCAGGGGAAAGATCAGGGATTGTTACCCCTTCCCCCCCCCCCTCCCCCATAAAAAAGTGTCAGACTTGTTTATGGTGTAGGTTTGGTAAAAAATGGTACTGTTTCTTAAAGGGGATCTATACCATTCTGAATTTCATAATCCATGTCTGAAACTTGAAACTGTAGATTTATGAATAGGGCAGAAAATGGGGATTTAAAGAATGTATGACTTGTATTCCCTTACTGGTAGTATATATTCTATTATTGAGACTGTTAAAGGTAAAGACCAGTTATGGTCATGCGATTGCATTGTGAAAGAAATGTTGTGGAATCGATCAGAAAAGGTTGATCATCTAGCATCTAGCATCTGCAAGGTTCTGGAATCATCAAAATGATAAGAAATTCTTCGTAAAGTTACAAGCACTATACACAGAAAGATGTATATGGGACTACCTTATATCTCTCACAGACCATGAGAGAAACAAATTTACCAAATATATGAATTAGTAGGGGGTTTCCCGGCAAATTTTTTATCATCATGTATTGGTCAAAACATATTCTTTCACATGATTGGTAATGAGAGCTTCCATTTCATTTTTTGAAATTGGGGCGTTACCAATACTGGTCTTTACCTTTAATTATATATCACAACCTATACTTTACCTAATCATTCTTAGATCAGTTATCTACAAGACTCTACCTTATGGTAAGACTGACCGCAATTCGGTTATAGGACAATTATCCCCTGGACAATAACCCTCCGGCCAATTACCAACTGAACAATTACCCCCCAGAAAATTATCCCCTGGAAAAGTACCCCCCGGACAAATTATCCCCAAGGACAACCACCCCCCAGAAAATTACCCCCAGAAATTTGTTTAACAAACTTATTATCAGGGAGGACTTCCCCTCGTATGAACAGGGTTGTTCTTGGGAGGCGGGGAGGAATTTTCTGGGGGGTTATTGTCCTTGGGGGAGGGGGTAGTTTTCCGGAGGGTGATTGTCCAGGGAGTCATTGTCCTGATACGCCACAATTCCTTTCAATTATTCCTCATCCTTATATTTGCAGATATTTGATGGTTTGGCAGGTGAATCCAGGGATACAGCCACTCCACAGCAGATCAAAGCCAACATGGACTCTGCGCTGAAGAAGTGGCAAGAGAACGAGGCTGATGAATTGTCGCCTGAGATCGATGACACCTTTGAAATGAAAGATGTTCATTTTCTCAGAGAGGAACTCTAACAAAGCATCTATCCTTTTTTGTTGACTCTGACAATATTTGTTTCTGGGTACATGTACTATAGTATTCTGTTATTTGCAGTTTTGCTTCCTGAAGCCTAGTTTTGTCTACATATACCATGTGAGTCAAACAAAAGTTTACACCTAGAAAATTGCTTATTATTTTTTAAATCATCTATGCACAGTAAATTATTATACATCTCATGAAAGAGAGTTTTATCCCAAATGATTTGGTATCATTTTTGTGTGGTATGTGTTCACGCTTGGATGAACAAGAGGCATTGTTTGCGAGAGTGCAAAATCGAATTGTGCCAAAGTGATGCCTACAGTATGTGTTATGTTGGGATTAGAGGAGTAAGAGAATGAATTGAATGTATCAAATGAAATGCATTGCATATGCTTTTTGCAGAAGCAAAGTCACACACCCACGCGCGCGCACACATGTTCGTTGATATTTGATATTTGATATGTGTGGCATGATTAATTTTGTAAAGAATGCTATTTGGATCTGCAAAGACCGAATTAATGCCGAAATCCCAATTGTTTTATTCAAGCATCACATAAGCAACTTACAAGTCGATTTTTGCACTCTCGCAAACAATGCCTCCTGTTCATCCAAGCGTGAACACATACCACACAAATATGATACCAAATGATTTGGGATAAAACACTCATTCATAAGGTGTATAATAATTTACTGTTCATAGCTGATTTTTTAAATAATTAGCAATTTTCTAGGTGTAAACTTTTTTTTTGACTCACACTGTATATGATACATATGTGTAAAAATCATCTATCCATTCTGTTGTTGAATCTGTCCACATTTTTCTTGGTACGTGTATTTTTTGCGGTTTTGTTTCCTTAAGTCTATTTTTGTTTTTGTAACACATGAATGTATTAAAGAATACATAAATATACAGAAACTATGTTGAAACCTTCAAAATGCCATTTTATATGAAACACAGTGATTGTGAACTTAGTAACATTTAAATTTCTATATTCAATTTTGATTTCTATCTGGACCTTCTGTAAAAAAGTTAGTAGTAGTAGTAATTATAATAATAATAATAATAATTATAATTATAATGATATGATAATAAATTGTTATTATATTAAGGACAACGTATATATTTCTCTTTCGATTCTACATATGGTATACTATTAATATTATTTCAACCGTCACTCATGTAAATGAGTATAACATATAAGGCGCCACGGATTTATTCAACTGGCATTCGGAATGCATGTAGAATGCCCTATTCAGAATCTATTGTTCTGTTAATCCGCATTCCAGAATGTACCTAGAATGTACCTAGAATGCGGTACTTAACGACTTAATTGGCGCATTGTGGGTGCATTCTGGAATGCTCCATGAATAGGCCATCCAAACAAAGGCGAGATCGATCGGCAGCAACTACATTCTTGATATTGCGTGCCGGAAGAGTTTCGATATAGAATGCACCATAAGAATTGATAGAAATCGACAGATTCTCTCCCGCGATCGGTCGCTCTTTGCATTTCTCGAGCGCAGGTGATAATGGACTTACTTTGATTTCTTTCCGACGGCTTAATTTTTGTCATAAACTCCGGTAACATCAGCGATATTTAATTGTTTTCGCTTCTAGCTCTCTTTCTCTCACTATTTATTTCTCAAGCGTCGGTGATATTGTAATTGATTTTCTTTCTTTTCTTCAGCTTATTGAAGATGGTGAAAAGAGTAGAAGAAAGATTGAGAAAGAATGAAGACAGATTTATTATGACATTCCCGCCAGGCCGCCACAAATATGTCTGAGTCGGCGCTCTCAGAACAAAGGCGCGTAACAGTGTCAAATATACGCGGTGTTTTGAAACGTTGGTGTTGATTGACACGATGCCTCATTAAAGATGGTAAAAAGAGTAGAAGAAAGATTGAGAAAAAAATGAAGAAAATATTTTGCATGAAAATGCGGATGAATCTGAATGATCAAAATGAGAGGAAGAAAGAGGATGCAAGAGATGGTGGGTGTTGAAAGATCGGAGGACTAATGAAATGATACATTTAGATAAAAAGCGAGAGTGGATATTTGTGGTGATTACCATCTTATTTTAAAACTTTTTGGGGGCAGGGATGGGGGGGGGGGTCCGTCTTTTTTTTTGGCCAGGGAGGAAGCAGCCTGGCCCCGTTGCCCCCCCCCCCTCCATGAGTCTGCGCATGAAGGAAAGCACATTCTTTAATGAAAACCTATGAAGTATGCTGTTTCATATAATCTTATTCCTAAACCGAGACAGACATAATTTTCTTTGTGGTCTGTACTTATGTTGCGTATCATTTTTTTTAATTTGTTACATCACTTACCTCATCTACCCTCTCTATTTTTTAAATTCCTTCTCTTATAAATAATGATTTTGTGTGTGTGTGTGTGTGTGTGTGTTTTTTTCTTCAATTATAAATAAAATACGACTTACGGAATTTCATAAAATTGTAGAGGGTGTGCTTATTTATAAATAAAATAATGACAGATTTATTATGACATTCCCGCCACTACTATGTCGGCGCTCTCAGAATAAAGGCGCGTAACAATGTACGCGTGTTTTAAACTTTGGTGTTGATTGACATGACCCCTCATTTTAGATAAGAAGGAGACAGTGTTCATTCGAGATCTGGATTTATTATTATTATTATCGAGAGAGAGAGAGATTACAGGTGTAAATTGGCTGTGTGCCTATAACAATTCTAAAATGTTGGATTATGTTGTAATACACAAATGTTTTTGTCATCGGAAATAAGTGCTCCTCACCATTGACCACGGTTGCAACAACGACATTCAAATAATGACAGATTTATTATGACATTCCCTCCACATGTCGGCGCTTTCAGAACAGAGGCGTAACAATCGTAAATATCGCGGTCTGTTGGAACTTGGGTGTTGATTACAACATTTCCAAGATACAGTCATCAATCCAACTTTCAAATCCCCACCAATCTTTCGTGGTCGGGGGAAGGAGGTGGGGAGGTGGGGGAAGGAGGTGGGGAGGTGGGGGAAGGAGGTGGGGGAAGGAGGTGGGGGGGGGGAGGTGGGGGAAGGAGGTGGGGGGGGGGGGAGGGGGGAGGGGGGAGGGGGAGGGGGGAGGGGGGGGGGTAAGAGCATCATCCATTGATATTTGTTTGGTTCCTATCTCGTGAACTTAAATTGACAGTCGTAATGGATAACACTAGGTCTGAACCGTGAAACTACGAGACGTCCGGTAATATGAATACATGTATCTAAAAATGGCACATAATATTAATAGCATAACAAAATATCGGCCTTTAGACTGGTCCCGCACCGTAATGTGCCCCTATAAAGAAATACGGGGTTCTCGAGCGATTTCGGTTAGATCGCAAGTAATGGAAAATTTGGCGGTGCTTTCTACTTTCATTGCGCCTCATTCAGTCAATTTCGTGATTCTTTTTGTAAATATAAAAATGAAAGTTCAGACTTTTTTTTATTTCTAAAGATATAAGTAATGATCATCAATACGAAAAATAAGGTCTGTTATTTTTTGAGGGAAATTGCCGTCTTATTTTGCTGAAGCTTCACGTCTTTCCTTTTCAATACACTCACGATACAAATTGCGTAAGATCGGTCGATACCTCCATTCATTCCCCCATTGTCTATGATTGTCGTGTGCTAAAGCTTGGCCGATTATCAACCGAGCCATAAATAATAGGCCTAAGCCTTCGTTTTACACGGGTTTTCGACACATTTTGTAACTATATTCTGACCAACATTATGCCATGATCTACACTAAATGCCCTTTCTTTTAAATGTGCAAATCAAATATAGGACTATTTGGGGAACTTATGCATTTTGAAATGAACATTGTTTTATTCTCGAAAACAACAATAATATTTACTTTGAATACTTTCGACTTTGTTTCTCATAATTAGAAATATTCATCTGCCGTGTGCCTTACCATATTACAATCTTACCACTATTGCCTAGATATATTTTATGGAATAAAATGACACACAAACCCCATTTATCAGGATAACCATTGAACAGCTAGACTTGTTTTGGTTATCCCTCGTGAGAATTCAATTTATTTGTCTTCGTCTCCATCTGTGTTCTCTTTCAACCTATCCTGTCAATAAAACTTTGTTAATCTTCGTTTCATGATCAGTTCTGTAGATGGCATGTATACATGAAATGATGATGATGATGATGATGGCGATGATGATGCTTACAATATTGTAATAGAATAGTAATGATAATAGACATTAATTTCTTCATCTTGCACTCGCTTTTCTTTATTGCCAGAAAACTTTTTTTTTTTTTATGTTGCCTTGCTTTTTTTTCCCCTTTAACAATGGTAGCATATTTGCCCAGGAAAATTCTCATATTCGTGGCTATACCTATAACTCAAACCTGCTCTAAAATGGTTACATGCCCTCGTAAAGGTACATAAAGAGTGGTTGTTTGTATTGTCATGTAGCTTGACCTACGTTTGGGCCTACATCCTCTTCTTTCAACACGGTAATCTTCCAGAGTAGTTACACCTTTACATTCGTTTGTTCCTCTTATTGTGGGATCCGGTCCAGGCAGCTGAGATAAGCGTTTCATAATAGAGGAGGTCCATACATGAATGATTCGCTAAATTGATCAAGTTGATAACATGAAAACTGTATTGTCAGAGTTCCGACACTGGTAATTAGAGGGGAGAAGAATTACCAAGTCAGGGGTCGGTTATTTAATGGCTGTTTTCACAACCCGCAAAGGCCTTTGTTTTGTTATCTGATCTTGTTTATCGGATCGTTTTTCAAACTTTTATGAATGTTTTCCCCTGATTTGTTTTGCTTTCCTTTAAAGCAAATTTCCACCACAGGGTTGGATTGCCCATTTATTTTAATTAAGTACAATTTATAAATGCCAAGTCTCAGATGTTTCATATTCCATTCAATCTTTCGGGGAAGGGGGGGGGGGGGAGCATCGTCCATCGATATTTTTTGGTTTCCTAGGAACCAGTCGTAATGGAAGTCGATGTTAATACAGAATAATTATGATGTTCCCACTGAGTAAAATACGTCCTTTGCCTCCACCGTTAAATCTTTTCCCTTGCATTTATTGAACGGGTAGTGTAATTTACTTGACACGCAGTTGATTTGAACGAAAGCAAAATGGCAACAACAACAAAAGAGAGAGAAAGAGATTGATGATAGTTTGACCGAGTTTAAAGAATTTGAAAATACAAACAATTTATTTTATATAAATGTAATCTTTTTCGAGCGGGAAAATACTTGTATTAGAACTCGTTCGTAGCGTCAAAATTCATTTTACCGGGGAAGAAATAAAGGGGCCGCAACTTTTTTATGGGAAAATGGAAACGTAATACCAAGATAATTTTTTCCTTCAATTAGGAGACAACGTGTTTCCGTTGTTATCAACTTCAGAAAATCAGAAGTTGAGAGAACGAATGTTATACCTTGTTTAAAAAGATAAATAAAAATAGCTCTTACTCCTTCTAAAAGTGCTCCGCGCTGTCTATATAAACTGATACTTATTCACATTCCAACACTATGTCGGCAGAAATTTGAAAAGACAAACAAGTTATTTTATATAAATGTAATCTTTTTCGAGCGGGAAAATACTTGTATTAGAACTCGTTCGTAGCGTCAAAATTCATTTTACCGGGGAAGAAATAAAGCGGCCGCAACTTTTTTATGGGAAAATGGAAACGTAATACCAAGATAATTTTTTCCTTCAATTAGGAGACAACGTGTTTCCGCTGTTATCAACTTCAGAAAATCAGAAGTTGAGAGAACGAATGTTATACCTTGTTTAAAAAGATAAATAAAAATAGCTCTTACTCCTTCTAAAAGTGCTCCGCGCTGTCTATATAAACTGATACTTATTCATATTCCAACACTATGTCGGCAGAAATTTGAACAGACAAACAAGTTATTTTATATAAATGTAATCTTTTTCGAGCGGGAAAATACTTGTATTAGAACTCGTTCGTAACGTCAAAATTCATTTTACCGGGGAAGAAATAAAGCGGCCGCAACTTTTTTATGGGAAAATGGAAACGTAATACCAAGATAATTTTTTCCTTCAATTAGGAGACAACGTGTTTCCGTTGTTATCAACTTCAGAAAATCAGAAGTTGAGAGAACGAATGTTATACCTTGTTTAAAAAGATAAATAAAAATAGCTCTTACTCCTTCTAAAAGTGCTCCGCGCTGTCTATATAAACTGATACTTATTCATATTCCAACACTATGTCGGCAGAAATTTGAACAGACAAACAAGTTATTTTATATAAATGTAATCTTTTTCGAGCGGGAAAATACTTGTATTAGAACTCGTTCGTAGCGTCAAAATTCATTTTACCGGGGAAGAAATAAAGCGGCCGCAACTTTTTTATGGGAAAATGGAAACGTAATACCAAGATAATTTTTTCCTTCAATTAGGAGACAACGTGTTTCCGTTGTTATCAATTTCAGAAAATCAGAAGTTGAGAGAACGAATGTTATACCTTGTTTAAAAAGATAAATAAAAATAGCTCTTACTCCTTCTAAAAGTGCTCCGCGCTGTCTAAATAAATATGATACTTATTCATATTCCAACACTATGTCGGCAGAAATTTGAAAACACAAAGAATTTATTTTATATAAATGCAATCTTTTTTCGAGCAGGAAAATACTTGTATTAAAACAAGCTCGTAGCGTCAAAATTCATTTTAACGGTTAAGAAATAAAGCGATCGTAACTTTTTTTTATTGGAAAATGGAAACGTAATTCCAAGATATTTTTTCCCTTCAATTAGGAGACAACGTATTTCCGCTGTTATCAACTTCAGAAAATCAGAAGTTGAGAGAACGAATGTTATAGCCTGTTGTGCGCCGCGCTGTAGTCACTTTGGCAGGCATTTGAAATTACGCAATTCTGATTAATCGCCAGCGTCTCGGACATGCTTTTTAATCGCCCAATTCTCAAAAAGTCGATGCGATTTGCGCCTTTTGTCTAGAGAACAAAGGCGCATTCCAGAATGCATTCCAGAATGTGCGCATTCTGGAATGCCCCTTTGTTCTCTAGACAATAGGCGCAGGTCGCATCGATTTTTTGAGAATGTGGCTAGAATGGGGTCATTCCAGATACATTCCAGAAAGATTAACAAGGACATTCCGAATGCATTCCGAATGCCAGTTGAATAAATCCGTGGCGCCTAAGTGTGTTTCTTTTTATGTATTATCATTTTGTGATTGTTAAAGATAAACTCCAGTTCTGGTAAAAAGAAAGAAAATTAATTCTTACAGAATCAAACGAAACTTACACTGAATGTTCAAGATTACAAACAAATGACATGTGCCAAACAATTTTGGAAGAAAATGTATACTGGCTGAGTAATGAGCATAGGAAGACAAGGAAATCAAGGTAGTACTAGCCCCGACACCATGTGTGTTGTCCCATATATAGCTTTCTGTGAACAGTGCTTGTTACTTAACCAAGACTCGGCCAAATTTATTATGATTTTGATGACTCCAGAACCTTGCAGTGCACACCAATACTTACATGCTACATGATCAACCGTTTCTGATCCATTCCACACCTTTTCTTTCACAATGCAATCGCATTACCAGAACTCACCTTTATCTTTAATTAAACACAATTCAACATTGTTATGATGCATGATATTTTTTATAATATATTTCATTTTGAATGGAATTTAGATGTTTTTTGTATTACATGTATTTTACATGATACACTGGCGTACTACTCATGTTTTTTAGTGCTTTCATTATAATATAATATGGTTGTAAACCAAATTAATCAGTACTATTACATGTCTTTTTGCCATTTGAGGTTCTTTCTTTTGCCAGCATGTTTGTAAAATTGTGATTTTTGGAAATAGATGGTTATTATGTAAAAGAGTTCAGTTAATGACACAGGGTTTTGTAACATTAAACTTGTGTGTTTGAAGTCCATTCTCAATACTCCTATGGTGGATTGCACTTGATAACATTCCAGTTAATATCAGTACCAATAGGTAACCTTTTTTTGCGTATATGTATGGTTGTCGGGATTGAATCGGAATAAAATGATATACTTTCTATAAATTGTTTTGACATCCATTGTGATGTAATTGTCTTCTTTGTGTCACAAATAATTTATAGGAATTAGTTGAGCCATAGAACATTAAAGGCTTGTTCAGATATGGCATGATAAACTTCTTTTTAAAAACTTTTTCTTTAAAACTGTGTTTAGTAAAGGCAACTGCACACAACAATTAAGGGCTTCATCTGCGTGTAGCCGAGTTCTATGTTACAAGATACAGAAATGTAAAGCTCATTACACTTCACGTCATTAAAAAATACCCCGGTTTTGCCAAGTCGTATCCGAACAAGCCTAGATGGCATACACTGTAGATGGTAGTATACTGTGGGATCTCGATGATAACTGACACATTTGGATAAAGGAAATTACCTTTTTACACTTAAATCTTGTTTTATCATGGCTACGATACAGTAGAATACAAAGTCACAGCGAGTTAAAATCAGAGCTGTTCCAACCACTTTATACAATACACTGCTCTTTATAACGAGGGTCCACTGAAAAGTATAGAAGGTATAGGGCTATTATCTTCAATTTTTTTTTTTAAATCCTAGACGAGACATGCAGAACTAAATTTGTCAAGATAAGTGGAAGAAAATAGAAGGAAATGCAGAAAGACAAAGGGGGTCAAGACAGGCAGAAAAGAAAGGCAGGAAAGGTGATATGTAGTGAAAGGAAAGTTATAGACTACTTGGGGATAGGAGGTGTGTATTTTGGAGCATGAAGTAAAAATTTAAAGTTGTGCCTTGATCATGTGATTTCATTGTGATTTCATTGTGACAGAAAATGCAAAACTGAATTGACGATTGTTGTATACATGTATTTTGAGGTTTTGGAATTATCAAAATTAGAACTCAAATTTTGGCTGAAAAGCTCTATAGCACTGGACAAATAGGAGTACTTATTAATACAAGGTGTTCATCAAAACTTGGTTCATTTTTTTAATTATAAGACGGTTTTATCCTAAGAGATTTGATCATGCACATCTGAACGTTTTATCTCGCGTTACCCCTGCCACATCCCCGCCTATGATGTCATGAACTTCACTATAATTTAAGCTAGAAACTTCCTTTAAAGGTAAAGGCTAGTTTAGGAAACGCCCCCCTCTCGAAAAATGAAATGGAAGCTCTTATTACCAATCATGTGAAAGAATATGTTTTGACTAATACGTGATCATACAAATTTTAGTGAGAAACCACCTACTAATTGATATATTTGGTAAATTATCTATTTGGACCTGATAGATATAACGCATGTGTCACGCACATGTGCGTGGTCCCATATATATCTTTCTGTGTACAGTGCTTGTAACTTTACCAAGACTGGGCCAAATTTGTTATCATTTTGATGATTCCAGAACCTTGCAGTCCACACCAATACCTACATGCTAGATGATCAACCTTTTCTGATCGATTCCACAGCGTGTCTTTCAAAATGCAATCGCATGACCATAACTGGTCTTTATCTTTAACAGAAATGATCGAATACCACACATTATACAACATACACTGAACCATGCAGTAAACTTGTTGTGCAATTCTTTTTGCTTTTATTCTTCCTCACATATAAACGACTTTTCAGTCCCCTGCGAACGAACATCAGGTACCAAATGTAATAAATATGCACGGTGTTAAAATCCTCTCATGCCTTCCACAATACAAGGAATGAATTAATTTACTTATAAAACCATACATTACCCAAAAGATATGCTATCGGACTAATGCCTATTCCTAACTTTAATATTTTGTTAAACAAATGTTCTGCTGAGATGTCGTTAATATCATTAGATTCACCTTCATTGCCATGTCGTAAAAATGAATACCCTGCATCGGTTTAGTACACATAACATTCATCATATAAAGAGTGTATTGGGAAACTGGTAAACTAGCTCATGGTTGATATTTTCTGCAACTCTCTTTCTTGCCTACGTTGAATGAAATTACAACACCACAAGGGACAAATTGAAAAACGTAGTAGATGGTTAGCTCACTACATTTCCAAACCTATTTTTCGATTCTACAAAAGACAATCAGTTGCATAATCATTGTCGGGCAGACTTCCCTTTTCCGTTTCATTCGGTCTTTCAAAATGCAATGGTGTGCAGTTGTACATCTACACTTATTGTAATGAACAGATAAATAAATTAATCAAATGTAAATATTGTGAACTTATCAACCCTTTGATCATAACTGTTTTCATACAGTGCCGTTCCAGTTTCAAGTAACCCATCGAAGCACTACACAATACATCATTACCGTTTCCTTTTCTAGCCTGATTGAAGTGGACAGCAAGTGCTATTAAAATTTAAACACAATTAGACAAACTTATGTATGGAAACGACATGAAACAGAGTATTTGTGGTGGTAACAATAAACTCGCTAGCACTTGATTCTGCCCAGCAAGCTTGTTTATGTATTGGTACATGTGAAAATAAACACATTTTCTTAGAATACAGACATTGACACAATACCACAAGATAGTTGGAATAATTCCAGTGCTGGACGGAGAAAAAAAAAGCAAGCCAAATTTCTTCAAAAACTTGTCCACTGTTTGAACCTTTCATTTACAATTTTATCTTGAAGTGAACGGTGAGTTCATATTGACGCATCTCCAGTCTAAAGACCACAAGAGCAGTCAATCTTTGTATAATTTTTGTTTTCAAGCTGGAATCTATTACGGCTTGATCAATGATGTTCCCGTTCATTGAATCACTGAAATGATGGAAACAATTAAGCTATTTTATCAAATCAACAATACTTCCAGAGATGGATGAGAAAAATTTGAAATGCAATTAAGTAGAGTAAATTATGATACAATTTTTTTTTTAATACATATATAGCCGAAATGAATACATCCAGGAAAATGGATGTGTTTTTTTATAGACAGGTGCTCACTGAAGCAGGTTTGACTATATTATATTACTTCACCAAGCATGAATTAAAATCCTTGCATTGAAAATTGAAACATGTGAACAATTCCAAACAGATCACTTCTACGCTCTCCTAATCCGAACGTCATCTATTCTACAATACTCGGCTTCTAGTCAATACCAGTACAATAACATCACTAGCCGTATACATTATCATTACTAAAACAGCGAAGACGGAAACATGTACAACCCGGTAGCCTGCCATGGCAGCAAATTTCAGCTCAAAAAAGGCACTAAATCTTTTCATATTTTCATTTCCCTGTCCACTTCTTTCTTGTCCTCGAAGCATTTTTAGTCTACTACAAAAGCTAGCTTCATGTGTCTATTTCTATACCGTAGATACAATGAACAAGACTACAAACATTGTGCTACCATACAGAATATACTAGTTTTACTTTAACATCAACAGAAAAACGACTCTCCTTCCTTGACAACAACAAATGTATGACAGAGCAAGATGTATGTATAGTCCCACATGTAGAGAAATAAGTCTGTGTTTTAAGCGAGATTTGGTAGTTCGGCTTCCCTGCTGTATACAGGTGTAAGTTATGCTCAGTGCACAAAGTCTTGCCCTTTTTAAGTCATTGCCTACAAGTCTTTGTTCTGACCAACCGATGTGTCTATCCATCAGGTCATGTTTTGACTGTGAATCTCACACAGAATAAAGGCATGTGATTCTTGCAAGATCATCATCGCTGTATAAACTGAAGTGAAAATCCCATCATGGCGACCCATACTATAGCGTACATCATAATTGATAATTCTGACACCAATCACTAAAATGCTTTAATAATTGAGGTATGTCTGTTTTCATGCTTGAATCTCATCACCTTTCCATCCATTCGATTAATTCAAGTTGCATTCATGATTGAATTTCATAATTAGTAAATTTCACGTTGAAATCAACACCTTTACAACAAATGATAACAACTAGTTCATAGCACAGCTAGTGAGGAATAACCATCTACGAACACATGTACAAGGTTAATAGATAAATCTCCAAACACGTACAATGATACAATCTTCGACAAAAAAAATAAATCACCGCACCTTACCGGAATATTTAGATGAGGAGTGATAATAAGCACCTAATTTACAGTATGACCAAAATATACACATTACGGAATACGCATAATGAACACAATGTCCACAACAATGCATACCAATTAAATCAGCATTGATGCGTACGAAATAGCACTGATGCCTCTCGAATCTGAAATCTGAAGTGATGGTTCATCGACTTTGACATGACAACCTATCGAAACACAATACTGGATTTATCGGTTGCAGTATTCATTTTGGATTCATGTCTTGAAATGTCAGCTTTTCATGTCTTCCTTGAGTCTTGTTGAGCTTTGTAATACAGAGGCATGATACTGCATACATGTAGATGGATGGATGCTGAACCACTCAGGCTCAAGATTTCTACTCAGCACAACAAGCCACAATACCAATCAAGAATTATGTAGAGAATTAACAGAGTTGTGTGCAATAATACACATACTCAAGTGGAACACCACTTAATTTTTTCCTTTCAATTTTACTGGCAAAAATATTTCCTCACGGAACAGAGATGAAACTGAGTTTATAGACTGTGTAGTCTCTTTGTACAAGTATCACGCAAATGGCCAACTTTTCATTTTACATTCTACAATTTACATTTTACAAAAATGGTTGAATAACTTAGTCAATGAGGATGATTTCTTTCGAGCCGTCTCCACTGCCGTCGGTTTTTCTGAGGTCCTTCGCTGCTAAAAAGAATGGAATCAAACAAGAAAAGAAAGTCAGTAAAGAATATTACTCTTATCAGCATTAACGCCCCTCTAAAGTGTTGAGAGCCTCAAAATTTAATGGCAAAATTTCACTTAAATTGTATCATAATAAGAAACAGGATGTCATTTAAGACAAATATCTGCAAGGATTTTCAAAAGAAATGTTTCAAGTCATATTGATGAAACAATGCAAAATATAGGTTTGCTGCTTACAACAGAAAACCCAACTTATGTATTCTTTTATCAACATTTGTCTTCAAAACACTTTTTTTTTGGGGGGGAGGGGGGTAATCTTTGCAAAAGTGTGTCTTAAATGACATCTTCTTTCACATTATGATATAATTGAAGTGAAATTTTGCACTCAAATTTTTGGCAAATTTAGGGCTCCCAACACTTTAAACAGGCTTTAAGCAAGCGAAATATGATATACTGATTCAAGGATACACAGTCCAAGGGTTCAACATATACTCTGGTGACAACTGACAAATTATTCTGCATTCCTATATTTCTATCTTGGACACTGCCTGGACCCATCACTATACCTAACCCTATTCTAACCCTAAATCTAATCAAATCAAATTGTAAACCAAGTTCTAACCCTGTGCCTTTGACAGAATACAGCCTAGGATTGTCAGACCATGACACATTCATATTTTGTCCAAGAAGGTTTTCCTTAAAGCACAAAGCAGAACAGCAGAAAAGCCTTAAGGACTATCCAGGTAGCAGGGCCTTGTTTCATAAAACTTGTTACCAATAACAAGTTACAATAACTGTTATAAGCTACTGAATTCATGACATTTGATTGGCTGAGAGCAAATTTGTCATAGAAATGTAGCATTTGTTATTGATAACAAATTTTATGAAACAGGGCCCAGAATAGCACTTTACATCTAATATCTTTTCATGCTGTTAGATCTCACAGCAGGGAAACCTGTCTATAAAGGCCATCCAAGGGAAAAGGAAAAACTGGCCACTATAGACACATGGTCTTTCTAGAAAGGTTCTTCAACACACATTTTATCCTAGAGGGGGACATTATAGGTGATCAGTCCACTATAGACAGGTGGCCACTATGACAGGTTTGACTGTATTTTGTATGGGTAAATTTGTAAAGAATCCTATGGATGTATTATTTTCATCGATACCAGAGCAAAAATAAATCACATCATTAATCGCTCTCATCATAATTTCACCAGTTTGTTTCTATGTTCTCACAAAAAGAAACAAAATTAGCCAATTTAAATTGATATAAATACTTTTCTTGCTGCCAATATTTTATGTGGGACAACTGCTGGTTCCTGCATTACATACAAGTTAGTGTTTGTAAAGATTAAAGTTGTCAAAAGACAATTTACTAGAATTACGTCAACACCGTAATTTGACAATATCTCTTCATTTTTGATGTAGTTCACACATTTGAATTTGATCTTCAGAATTTAAGTGCAAGATGCATCTATGTTAGTAAAAACAAATTGTGTTAGTCTTTCAGGCAATAATTGCACACAATGCGAACAAAATAATCCTCTCCTTTCAAAGTAAAATATAAAATGAATGAAAAACAAAATCAGAGATCGAATGAATGAATGAGCGATCAAGTGAATATGATGAAAATTGCCATGTTTGTATCCTATGGAGGTCATAAAAGTCTTTAAATATTCTTGAATGATTCTAAGCTCTCTTATTCTGTATACTACTGCTATCGTGTGTTCATTGAATATGAATAAAGGAGAGAGAGAGAGAGAGAAAGAAAGAGAAAGAGAGAGAGAGAGAGAGAGAGAGAGAGAAAGATAGATATAGAGAGAGAGAGTGAGTGTGTGTGTGATGGAGAGTAAATGATTGCAATGCTAAATCTATTTCTATAAAGTATTGAGAACTATTGCCCGTGATTTATAAAAATTTACCCAGCTTTAAACAGTTACAATTTCTGTTAATTACAAGAAAAATGTGTATTTTTTAAAGGATATATTATTTTCTTGGTGTTTTGCAACCAACAACCCCTAAATCTGACTTTTTTTTTCTTTCCTTTTTTCCCCACCTCATTTAAGAATGACATGTATCTGCTATCTGTTTAAAATAGAAGCACCATGTTGACACTTTCAATTGATTTAATGAAACATGCAGATTTCCGTTTTACATGCTCCAAGCATGCATTCAATCTGTTGTGTAATACTAACCCATGAGCTCTAATTATCCTTGTACAAAATTGTGAAAAAGGGACTGATAATATAATCGCAAAATAATTGTGTCCTCATATCCACCCCCTCAACCTTCACGAAATAATGTCAAGATCTTGAATGAAAATGATGAACAGATATGCAAAGTGCATGTTGTACTGCGATGGCCATCATTCAATCGTGATATAGGTACTTGTGCTATCAAATAGCTGGTTCATATGACATAAATTGCTTATATACCAAAGTTATTGTACAGACATCTAGTCTGCATAGTGCTAGTGAGAGTTCAATGTTAGTATGCAACTGTTCATGTTCACAGGGGTAGCCTAAGGTAAACCCTAACCCTTGTTAAAAGGGGAAGTCCACTCTGATATTAAGTTGCTTTCAATAGAAGCAGACAAATTAGAGAGACAGTTCAGTGAAAGATTTAAACAAAAACCAATTAAAAATTAGAAAATTATGAATTTTTGAAGGTGACATCAATCAAACACAAATTGGCAAATCCTGGGACGTATCTTGCAAGTGCCCCTCCTAATAAATAAAAACCAACTAATATTAGAGTGGACTTCACCTTTAACACCATGTGTCAAGCTCTTTAGTTTACATATTGCTGTAATTCTGTCTGCATAGTGCTAATGAGACTTCAAGGATAGTATACAACTGCTAATGTTCACATGGGTTTAGCCTAAAAGGTAAACCCTAAGCCTTGTTAAACCAACTAATTTACAGTGAAGGTCATTTATAATACTGGGTCAAGGCACTTGGTGCTCCAGAAATCAGGACTAGCTCTATCCACCTAAACCTGGACTGAAGTTAGTATACTTCTATAAACACCAGCCGGTCTTTTTGTGTAAAACCTGCCAGGTACTAATATCTACAGCCTCAGTTATGACCTATGACGACTATGCATTGATATTATGTCATTCATGTTAGCAAAATATGGTGATGAGTTGTTAGTATAATCAAAATAATAGGAGAGTTTTCGTGCACACCTTCACTTACCCGTGCTGGGCTCTCCCTTCAAGATAGATCCCTTGCTCTGAGGAACACCTGCATGGGTGGGATAGACAAGGAAGATGAATGGTATTACAAACCATTCATGTAGAGGGCAACAACAAATTGAGCAATGATCTGATCATTTTTTTTTATTCGCATATGGACAGAATTTCAGAGCGGCAATGTACAGTGAGAAGAATTGCTCTTGAAATATTCTTATATTTCCTATACAGCTAGAAATAATTTACAACTTTAATTCTGCTGCCAGGTGTTTTTATGGTCCCATGTACTAAAATCTGTGTGCAGGTTTTTCCATTGTTAGTACTTTTCAGCAAGATTTAGTCAATTGTTCAAAATTTAGATGATTCTAGAACACTATGTTAACAATGAATGCTTTGAGGAACATCTTGACACTGGGGTGAAATAGTAGAATCTCAATTTCGACTTCAGCTATAGTTTGAACCATGACCTCCAAATTTGCAGGCAATATTTGTTGAACATTTGGCCTTATGCAATACATGTGTGAATCTTTGAAATTGATACTTTGGTCAAAAGATGTCCGTCAAACATTGCTTTGTCACATAGCAGTCAACAGCCAATTTTATGGTGCAGTTTTGATTCACCAGAGGCGCAGAATTATGATATACAGTCAAAACCTGTCTACAGCGACTGCCTAAGGGAAACACAAAAAAGTGGTCTTTGTAGACAGGTTTCTTCAGTGCATGTTTCAATGAGAAACAATTTTCAAGGGAAACAAGAAATATGGTCTTTGTAGATAGGTGGTCACTAAAGCAGGTTTGACTGTATAAGCACTAAATGATACACTACTAATACTCATTAGCATGAAGGGGAAAAGATGAATATTTGAGGTACATACCTGAGCTCGAGATAGCACTGGATGCATTACTGAGCATGGTGGAGTAGTAGTTACTGCTGGAGGGTTGAGAGGAGGAGGAGGACGAGCCACCGGCTCCACTGCTGGAGCCCTTACCCCCGGCCAGGGCCTGAGGGCGAGAGCTGCCTGGTACCACCTGCACATTACCCTGAGGGATAGGCTGGACGGCTGTGTGAGGGAGGAGAGAGAGAGAGAGGAGATGATGATGATAATAATGCTGCTGCTGTTGACAATGATGATAGTTATGATTATGATGATAATGATAGTGATGATAATGATGGCGATGATGTTGACAATGATGATAGTCATGATGAGGGGGGGGGGGGGGTGGAGGCGGGATAATGTGAATGATGACGGTGATAATAATTGATGATGATGATGATGATGATGATGGTGATGATGATGGTGATGATGATGGTGATGATGATGCTGCTGATGATGATAGTGATGATGGTGGTGATGATGATGATGATGATGGTGGTGACGGGTAATGATGATGGTGATGATGATGATGATGATGATGATGATGATGATGATGATGATGATGATGATGATGATGATGATGATGATGATGATGATGATGATGATGATGATGATGATGATGATGATGATGATGATGATGATGATGATGATGATGATGATGATGATGATGATGATGATGATACTGGCAATATATTGATGATGGTGCTGGTGGTAATAGTAATTTTTTTGAATAGAAAAAGGATGATGATGACGACGACGATAATGTCGATAAGGATTATATTGATGTTGATGATGAGGAGTATTAGGATGATGATGGAATGCCATGATTATACTACTGATAATGCACATGACATTCATAATAATCAAATTGAACTCATGGATCATGTTATTTAAATACACTGAATGATGAATGCCAATGACTAAATATAGTAACAAGAGATACTCAACAGCACACAATTGCAAACAAGGAGAAATTAAATAGGTCAAAAAAACAAAATTAAAAGATATACACTTGATCTGTATCATCAAAGTAAACTCCATAATATCGTAAATAAATAATACAATATAAGTTGATATCTACACATTTACACTAATGATATATTTTCATTAGATTCCAGTGATATACGACCAATGTGCAAATACAAATGGTTCAAAATAAGATGTTAGAGATGTCTACTGCTTTTAATTATCCCAGAGGAAAACTTCTACAAAAGTAAGTCCACAAGTGAGAAATAATACACTAGAAATCATATGTCCAGTGTAACTTGGAACTTTTTTAAATGCTCCGTCAGCCATTATAAGCCATTTCAAAATCAGTCCAAGAGAATGAAAAAAGTATATTGACATCAAATGGACTCACATACAACGAATGAATGAGAAAAAAATTAATTCTTTCACCATTAATATACATAATCCATATAGTCAACCAGGAAATTGTTTCATGAAACCATCATAAGTACAAGTTCACCGACATTCTATTGAAACGCTTGTTCTTTGTAATACATCGCTTATAATGGGATGTCGGCGAACTTGTTCTTATGATGGTTTTGGGAAACACTGCCCCGATATCCTAAAATACAGTGTGTAGAGTGATACAATGATATTTTAATAGAAAACTGAAAAGCCTGTATTCTACTGAAATTCAAACCAACAGTGGGTTGAAATTTGGTATAAAGTTGAGTTTTATCAAGCTTAGATTGACGTCTAAGTTTTTGCTTTACTCCTCAACTTGGTTCCACTGTCGGGTTTAATTGAATTGGTAGAATACCGGCCGAAGGGTTTACCAAGTAAGTGGGTGTCAAAGACAGGGCACGGTGCAAACAGTATAAGTTCCTCAGCTCCAACCATACCATCTAATACCTCTGAAAAAACCTTAAATGTGATACATTTGAGTGCTTTGGATTTTACAGATCTTGCTTAAAAGATTATATGAGTTTTTTAATTTGTTTAGTAATCCACAACACACATGGATATAGAAGGAAACAGAAAAGAATTGGTGCATGACTTTTTTTTAAATAAATATTTTGGTGTGGAAAACAAAAGTACATCAAAGAGCAATGCATTTTTCCTTTTATTAACAAGAATGGGATTAATTTAGATGAATGAATTGAAAAACACAGACAAGATACTGTAACCTTTTGTTACAGAAACTTGAACTTCTGATGTTAGCCATAGAAAGAGAAATAAATATAAATGGTTAATGGTTTAGCTTAAAAGACCACCACAAAAAGAATTTGGAAATAGATTAAATTGACAATTTGTATTATTGAGGTAGATAGTAGAATAAGGAGTGTTTTGTTAGAGGAGACCTTTTCTGCCGTTGCCGGTTCATGACACGCACTTACTTCGACCACCGAGCGTGGCAGGTGCACGCTTTGATGAGGAGGGGGCGGAGGCTGCAGCAGCCATGGACTGTGCGGGTACACGAGAGTGTAGCCCAGGGGCCAGCCCCTGGGTAAGGTTGTACTGACCAGTGGGTCTGTAGCCGGCGTAGTTGGTGGCGAAGCTACCGCCGAAGCTGCTAGAGCTGCTGTACTGGGCGTAAGGGTTGTGGCTGGAGGCGCTGGCAATGTTTGCTTGAGCAGCCTAGGCAAACAAAGAAAGAAAGAAAGAATGAGAATGTGATAACATTGCACAGCTCTGGGTTTTAGGGTCTAATGTCTTTGTCACCTTCCGTTTCATTTTTATCAGATTCCAAATTTGACATTATTTCTAAATCTTCAATATGTATCTTATTGTGTATCACTTATCAAACATACAAAAAGGTAGTTTGAAGGAAAACGAGTAAGAAAATTGGGGAAAAATCAGGAAAAATAGAGAAAATAAGGGAAAAATCAGGAAAATTGGGATAAAATTGGGAAGAAAAAAAAGAAAACAAGAAATTGGTGAAAAATTGGGTAATTATCAGGCCTGCAGTACATACCTGTACCTGTGGGGCTGGTTGGGTAGCCAGTCTGCTAAGGATGCTACGCTCTGACATCTGGAGCCTTGCAGCTACCGGTGGAATGCGTGAGAGGGTTGCCGGTAGACGGGCGACATCTGATTTCATGTCGCTCAGTAACTCCTCCAATTGATTAAGTACTGAGGTAGGAAGAAAAAGAGGGGAACAAATGAATGTAATCTGGTGTTACTTCGAATTGTAGCAGGGGAATGATGTCAGAAACTTGTAATCAATGTGCAATATATCTGGTGATCTTCAGTTTTCCATAGGTTTTCATGTCATTACAAACGAATCATAATTTCCATTTTTTAGTGGTCTAATTTTCCTCAAACTCTTTTTATTCCCCCGATATGTTTGTATGAGTTCTACTTTTATCAAAAGTTAGTCATTCTGGGACTGGACTGTGTATTCGATTGAAACTGGAATGTCACCATAAAAAGGTGCCTATGCTACCTCAGAGGCAAAGCATTAAAACAGTGATTATCAATATTGCTACTATTATTACTACTTTTATTAAACATTCCATTGCTTTCCAATAAATTCCAATCACTACAGTCTCCTATGTCAGCCTTTGGTTGCTTTAAAGACCACTGTAAGACTCACCTTTGTGTAGTACAGCGTTGGCTGGTTTGTTTCCTGCCAGGGACTCCTTGGAGAGATGCTGGTGACTCTCTGCAAGGCATTCTACCTCAGCGAAGCGAGCGTTGAGGGCCATGGCTGGATGGTTAGGGTCCTGGGTGAGGTTCAGGTAAGCAGCACGGCGCAGCTGCTCCTCGATCACTAAACCCTGCTCCAGAAGCTGTCAAGTGAGAGGTCAAAGGTTATTAATAAATATAAGCACAGTTTATTGTAGCAATCTGCCCCAAAACACAATTTTTCCGGACAACAAATCGTTGATATTTCACAAATATTTCTGATTGCATGAAAGAGTTGCTCTTTCAAAATGGCGACGAAGCGATAATGATTGCTCATGGGTGAAGCGTGCTCTCAATTAGTCTCTTCACAAGACTCACAACATAAAATTCATTCATATACAATACAAGATACTTAAGTGTTAGCATACAGCTAGCAGATGGATCGCAGTAGGTTTGCTTATTCTCATCTCATTTCATTTCACCATGAAAAATTAAATTCCAGTCACAAGGCCGCACCGACTCCAAAAAAATTGACCCAAAACTTGGCCATTTATTGTTAAGCTAACTTTAGTTCAGGGCAATATGCTTGTCTGGTGTCATTAAAATTTGATGTAACTAGATCATTATTCTGTTACAATTCCAGAAGCCACACATTCACAATTAACATCGAAGACATCATGTTAATATTTCCCTACTCATATATCAACTGGAAGAATTTACATTTCATCAAAGAGAAGATGTAATTCATAAAGGTGAAAAGATAAATATACACCAAGAATAAAATAAAGCCATATTGAAAACGAAACAATGAAAGTGAATTCATAAAAGGAATGATCTTGTCAAACGAACCTTGAACCTGCGAGCGAGGAACTTGTTCTTGATTTCCAGGTAGTTGCCCTTGCCTTGATCCACCTTGAATGGTTCATTGAGGATAGCATAGGCAGGATCGTTCTGGATGTCTTGCCAGCGACCGTATCCGTGTCTAGTGAGAGGTGTGGTGGGTCAAGGGTGGACAACAAGCAGTATACAGACAATGTCAAAACTGGGAAAGTGATGTGATGATACATACCTGTGCAACCTAAAAAGTGGATTATACTTAAAGCCCCACTGCACTACTCATAGCTACTTGCACCCTCTATATCGCAAACGATGCCTAATCGGTGACCGGTGGTCCCCCATGGCCCCTATTTCTTAAGTTAATTGAGAGCTGAGCTGATGAGATAACCACCTGTCCGAGTGCCCATGCAGGGAGGTCTAATCCCTCCTGGCCAAACTAAGGCAGATAAACTTTAAGATTTGTGGCTGACTTTGAACTATCATACAGAAAACTTTAATTGGTTGGATGAATCATGTAGTTTGAGTTTGAGTTTGAGTTTGAGTTTATTGATTTCACATTTCACATGCAGAAATAATACAGATAGCAAAATATACATAAAAGACATATTGTTTCATAATTTAAAAAAAAAAAAAAAATGATTATATTAATTGACAAGGTAATCATCACATTTGTTTAGTCTTCTACCGACCTCAACTATTTTTTAAAACAGTCCACAGGAGTGACCAAAAGTTTGCCTACTAAAATTCAAGGCTAGTAGAAACCTAAACTACATGATAACCCTTTGATTACTGACCCACACAAATGCTTGCCTTCGAAATGTTTGAGAATATATGTTGTATGAAAAAAGAGCAGCTTTGTCAACAACATGGTTGGTTTATAAATTCATTTTAATTTGTCACAAGTCATTTTTAATTGAGTATGTGAAAAAAATGAATGTGCAAGATTATACAACCTACTTGTCTATACAAAAAACAAGCACAAAACACTAACTGACAGATAGGGTATAGTTGGCTACAAAAAGCTAAACACAAAGCTACATAGTAGTTTGAAAGGATACTTGACGATGCCGTGGAGCAACCAGTAGTCATGCTTACGATGCCAGATCTCAGCCTCATTATCACACATCTCCTTAGCTGCTCTCTCCTCGTTCAACCACAGGGTATGAAGCTCTGTGAAGCCACCGTCTGCAATGTTGAACACAAACGGCCTCTTCTCCGGCTTCTTCACGATCACCTTCTCCTTCTCTGCCTCTTCTTTTGGTTCTTCCTTCTTGGTTTGGTCATCCTCCGTTTCTTCCTTGGTGTCCTCTTTCTTCTCCGTCTTGGAGTCTTCCTCCTCGGCTTTGGTTTCTTCCTTCACCTCTTCTTTGGTTTCGCTGTCACCTTCCTTCTTGGTCTCATCTGTCTTCTCATCTTCCTTCTTCACAGCTTCATCTGCTGTCAAAGACGAGTCAAAGAGAGTTATATAAATGAAAAGGCTCTTATCGGAGAAAAAAGATTATCTATTTCAATACCTCCAACTGCTACATTTTTCCAGATAACTAAAAGGAGGGTATACATCATGACAGACAAAACAAGTACTATTTAGTGCAAGGGACAGACTAAAAAACTACCTTCTCTAATCTTCAGAGCAATCAGATTATTCATTTACTAAATGAACCATGTCTATTGACTAAATAAACCATGTCTATTGATTAAATAAACCATGCCAATTGATTAAATAAACCATGCCTATTGATTAATTAAAGTATCCATGAACACTTATTTGCGATTGCATTGTGAAAGAAACATTGTGGAATCGACCTAAAAAGATTGATCATCTAGCATATAAGTATTCATGTGTATTGCAAGGTTCTGGAATCATCAAAAATGATAAGAAATTTGGCCAAGTCTTGGAAAAAGTTACAAACACTGTACACAGAAAGATGTATACGGGACTACACAAACATGTGGCGTAAAAATCAATCCTGATTTTTACGATGTTACATGACATATTTAGAATATGAAGGCATTTGAAGAGCCATGATTTTCAGGGAACATGTTTTATCTGATGTTCTTCCACACTTGCATAATAACAATGATAACGCTCACGAATTATTTTTCACCTCTTCCCAGAACTCAACCTTCTCTTGAAGTAACCTCTTCTGTTTCTCCCAGTCCCCTTCTCCAAGTGGGCTTTGGGCAAGTGACCCCTTTATTTCTCTTACTCACCTTTAGATTCATCTTCCTTCTTCTCTTCATCACCTTCCTTGGTTTCCTCCTTATCAGTCTCCATGGGTTCATCCTTGGTTTCCTTGGCAGCGCCATCCTTCTCCTCCACCTCCATCTTCTCTTCCTTTGGTGATGATGCACTCTCATCATCCTTCTTCTCATCTGTTTTCTCCTCCTCTTTCTTCTCATCTAATTTCTCATCTGATTTCTCCTCCTTCTTCTCCTCATCCACTTCCATTTTCTCCTCCCCTTCTTTCTTCTCTTCCCCTTCCTTCTTCTCCTCCCCTTCCTTCCCTTCTGTCTTTCCTTCAGCCTTGTCAGAGTCTGTTTTAGCTTCATCAGTCTTATCTGATTTTGTTTCAGCGTCTCCCGTCTTTGATGCTAGAGCGGCGGCGGCGGCCTTGGCGTCCTGGTCGCTGATCTTGGAGTCCACTGTACTGGCCGGTGAGTCTACTCTGGCTGGGGTGGGGATGGGTGAGGAGGTCCTGGAGCTACCCTTGCTGGAGGATCCCTTGCCAGTCAGCTGGCTGATCAGCTCTGGGAGGCTCACGCTGCCGTTGATGGGTTCGAATTCTAGCACCTGAGGATAGAAGGAAGAGAAGACATACATTGAATAAGAAAGGTCTGTTCTAGGCCTGAGTCAGCGCAGCTAGCTGATGAATCATCGATCCCCATCCATATTCAGCCTATAGGGTGAGTGCTACTATTCCTTAGTGCGACTAATCTTGCCGGAATGGAATGAGTAGATCAGCATCGACCATTGGTGTGTTTCGCGCATGCACTCCGAGACTTTAGAGAGTTGAAGTTTGCAAGAGCACAAAGATGAGAAAATGCTCGCAATGTTCATGATAATAATTTTTAAAGCATGTCAATATTTTACATTACAAAACAAATGCAAAAGTAGGAATTTATGGGGACTTGTTCATGTGATGAAAACCTCAAACGGGATAACACAAAACCGAGTTTCAGCTCGATGGTTGGGGACCAGACGGGGACCCATTTCAAACATCTGAACAGCTACAATTATCATTCGGACAGTGTTAAAATGTTAGACTATTCAAGCTACATGTATAGGGTCAAGCACAAAATGTAATGTTTCTCTTTAGCTAACAAGCTCTTACATCTTAATTGTCCATACCATAGTAACATGCACTTCATTCCATAGTATCGAATGCATGCCAGAACAAGATTACAGGCATTACATCTGTTTAGGTCTCTAGTTGATTTAAACAAATGCAAGGATATTGTGTACATAATTATACTTTAAAATTTCTAAAATTGAAGAAGGTATCATGCTTGTCCGTGTGGCTACACCATTTTCCAGAAATTAAGTATTCATGTTCCACAAGGTTACTTTCCATTGATCAAAATCATAGACATTTTTTATTCATTTCAATAATCCTCCTCTAAATAATTGCTTCAGCGTAAACCAATTCCCATCATTTTTGCCTTTCACAATATATCATGCAGAGGAACGGGTGATCATGAGAAAATAAATCATTACCTTTTTTCTGATGAGGCTCATGACACCAATCCTTGTTAGGACGTGTTGCCGTGACAACCCTTCCCTTGGGACACCGTCAGCAAAGGTGTCTGCTCCGTCTGAGCCTGGTTCACACAAATGCCTCATGAACAGGGACACATAGGCCCTAGAGTGAGAAAAAGACAACGGTAGAATTGGTCGTTAGTAAATCCAGTGAAATCTACAAAAGTCACCCAAGGGTAGTAAAGAGGTCATTACTGCCCTTGCTCATATGGTAAACATAATCATCATAGTAGGATAGACCAGTTCGTAGATACAATTTGCGCATGCGCAGATAAAGGTCACTTGTACAAAATTGTAAAATCCACTGAGACTAATACTGGATACGTGCTCATGAAAGTTATGTAATCATTATTCATGCATGCACCTGCGATACATTCTATTAAACACAGGTGGAAGTAATCCTTTCAAGAGGGCAAACAAAGAATCACCTCTGTGACTTTAGCTGTGATTATTCCACAGGCACAAAGTGGGATTTATATGTTTAAAAGATCTGTGGATATTTGGGGTCATCTGAACCATGTGCTAGCTACGAACTGGTCTATATAAAATCCACAAACAAACATATGAAAAGGATAAGGAAGAAGAGGAACTGAAGAGGTTCTTACCTGAAATGCCTCTCTGGTTTGCCCCTGAGGTCTCTAACCAACCACTGTGAGTTGTAAGGGTCTTGAGGTGGCATCCCCCATCTCATGATGGCATTCAGGAAGGCCTTGCGTTGACGAGCACTGAATCCAAGAACCTGAGCAAAAGCAAATAAGAATGACGTGAGTATATAACAAGCTCTACTAGAATTTATCTTCTACAATTGTTATTTACGCAAATGTGCATCTGTACCAAAAGGTAGACATTTAAGAAAATAAGTAAAGATTGGTGTAAAGATTGGTGATGTTCATAGAAAGGTGGCTACTATGACCGTCTGTAATTAGTTTCGGACACCGCCTTACAAAGAGTTGATATCAACCGCAACTTATTTGATCGCAACTATGTACATAAGAGATAGGAGACTGCAAACTTGCAATTGATTGGAGGACTTGCAATTGATTTGGATCAATCGCAACTCTTTGTAAGACAGGGCCAAGGACTCATTGATTGGAGGACTTGCGATCGATTTGGATCAATTGCAACTCCTTGTAAGACGGGACTCAAGAATTTGAGGTTTTAAAGAGAAGCTGTAACAGATTTTGAACAGCGTTGAACCATTATACAGGGACACCGATGTAATCCTGGAAAGCCGAAGTGAATGGAAGGAGTTGCTCACCTCGATTTGACCACCCACTCTGGCCAGGAGAGGGGGAAGCTTTTCCCTGTCCCTGTCTGCTCTCCTGCTCCGTCGAACTGGTGACAAAAGAACAAATACAGGATGATGTTGAAAAACATTACATGGACACATTGCTATCGGCAGCAATTGTATCAAGTTAAAGCCCCATTGTCCTACTTGTAGCTTCTTGCTCCCTCTATATAGAAAACTTCCTCAATCGGTGCCTCTTGGTCCCCATGATCCTCTTTTTCTTATGTTAGTTGAGAGCTGAGTTGATGAGATAGCCACCTGTCAGTGACCTGGCTGGGTGGTCTAATCCCTTCTGGCCCAGAAGTATTGATGATCTTTAAAAGTGTATATATCCCGTCATTCAAATTTGTCGTCTTTTAAATCAATATCTTAATACCTTCCAAACACATTAGACCCACACTCGAATCTCGACCACTTCAAATATTATCAAAAGTTCAATTTACATCACAATTACCACAATAGAGAATTTTTTTGACATAATTTTATTGTTATGAAAATATTCTTCGTTTACGATTCATGAAAGATTAATATAGTGAGTTTCTAGTGTTAAAATCATGATCTGTATGCTATCAAGAGTTGAAATAGAGAGGTCACAGGGCCTAAAATCGGGCTGAAGAGAGGTTCTAAGGTCATTAACCTCCAAGGGATATGAAACTCACTGTTATCATTCTTGTCATCGTAGTCCTGGTCATCCTCCTCATCGTCGCTACCACCAGAGTAGTCACTGAAGTCATCATTGAGCTTGTCGTCCCATACTGCAATGATTTACAATGTGAGACAGAATTTAGGTAAGGAGGACAACAACAAAAATTATTCATGGTGAGAACAGCAAGAAAGCAAACAAGTAGTAAACGCACACTAAAAGCTACTCACAAAATTCTTTTCATTTTGATCATTCCAGAACCTTGCAGTACACACCAATACAATATGCTAGAAAATCAATCTTTTCTGATCGATTCCACACCGTTTCTTTCACAATGCAATCGCATGACCAGAACTCAACTTTATCTTTAAGTCTGTTTTTATCATCCATGTACTAATTATTGTAATAGACTAATGTCAAGTGTGATTTTCTACGTAGTCTTCTTCCGTTTCTTATGAGTAAACATGTACTGGTAATATGTTGGTTATTTCAATAGTTGTTAGGTTATCACAATTGCTATTGTGCGTGATGAAATATGGGTAGTCTTGAACATTGTTGTCTCAATATTCTTATCACAAAATATGGTATTATATTAGTTATTCCAATGATTATTGTGTATTATTATCAGTGATGATATATGATACATACAAGTTAGGAGAGTGCAGTCTTCTCATGATTATTATCACTGTATACTGGTGTTACGTTAGTTATTCTAATGATTATTACATGATAATGGTTTTATCAAAAGTGATGATATAGGATTGACTCTGATGCAGTCCTCTGACAAATTCTCATCATGAAAAAAAAAAGGTATTATGTTTGGTATTCCAATGACTCTCAGATTATAATCATAAATGATGATATATGTGCGAGTTAATAAGGTGCTACCTTCTTACGATTTACACAAGTACATACTTACATACTTACATACTTACATACTTACATACGTACATACAGTAGGCTTGTATACTGTTAGTTATTCCAATGATGATTATGTTATTATCGTAAGTAATGATATATGATACATAAAATTTGGGAGTCGTTTTCTTACGATTCTTATCACTAAATACTGGTATTACCATGAGAGAGGATATAAGAGTGCAGTCTTCTCACAAGTCTTCTCATTAAATACAGGTATTATGTTTGTTATTGCACTGGTTATTACATCGAATATGACAATTGTTATGATGATTGATGATGATAGATGTGCCGATTCGAGCGTGGTGCTTGTCGTCTTCTTACCATTCTTGCCAAGCCTACCTCCTCTGCTCGTGTCTTCGGTGGCAGCATCGTTGTAGTTGACCTGTCTCCTGACCCTCTTGCCCTTGCCCAGGGTCCTGGCTAGGTCCTCCTGCTGCTGCTCGTAGTGGTGACGCAGGAGCTTCTCCCAGTATGCAGGATCAGACGGCTCCAGCTCCTGCTTGATCACCTCCGTCTCAGGCTCCGGCTTAGGGAGGGAGGGAGGGAGTAAATGGATGTTGGCATTAGATTGTCTGCTGGTATGTTATTCTTAAAGGCATCGTTTAACAATGTTAAATCTGAGATGCACGGCCCTAAGTGTATACCCAATGAAATACAAATTAAAATCTATAAACTAATGTCATTATCAATATTACATCTCCAAAGACTGTGAATGAAATCAGTTCAGTTCAGTTTATCAATACCATCATTTCGCAATCTCGGCTGAATTGCATGACAATTTACAATTACAAAACATACCATATTTCTTCACAATTTTTACAAATAACCAGTTAAAATACAAAATAATTAACGAAGACAATGAATCAAAATCTTTTCTCATAATACCTCTTCCTCTGCCTCTTCATCCTTGACCACATAGCTAGCCACCTTGAAGGACTGCAGGTACTCGTTGGACATGTCATCCTTGGGCTCTTCTACGTTGCCTTCCTTGGTCCTGTCCAGGAGATCCCAGACAGTCTTGTCGTCCCATTGGATAGTTCCCTCAGAATCCTCTGTGGTTGCACAAGATCGACAGAACATTGTTGAACCAATTCATCAGGATGGTTTACATTAAAGGCATGGTTTACATTAAAGGAATCGTTTTAACAATGTTAAATCTGAGACGCATGGCCCTACGTGTTATCAGTGTCTGTGCTATGGTGTAATATTGAAGCACTTAAAAAATCGTGCTTCAAAATATCAAGAAGTGCCTCAAAAATGTAAAAATCTTTGAGTGACCAGTTATACCATACTCATTTTCCCCAATAGACTGTAGTGATATGAAAACCGTTAGGCAAATGCAAAATTTGGTTTCGATTTCCAATCATAAATATCTTGATAATCAGACAGGCGATCAGCTTGGGGTTCCTGACTGACCTAAAGGTTTATAATTATCATTGCAGCATGAGCTAAATCCGGGATTTTGTTTCAGAAACAAAGACAACGTTACCGGATCCCTTTAAAAGGAATGAGTTCTCTGATACAGCCAAAAGGTGCAACAGTTTCAATGTCTACATTTTAGACAACTTCCTGAGACACGTAATGGCAAACTGAAGATAGCTGCTACTTGTTTGATTACACTATGTCAGTTTGGTAAATTGCAACATCATAAATGTCAAACTACTAGTACAAGAGGGCAAGTGTCTAGTAGCAAGAGCAAACCACTGCCCCACCGAGACTCACGCCGATGTTGTGAAGGCTGCGATTGATCTTAAGTGATCACAATTCCTCTATTAAAGCAACAGCAGACTTGAAAACTCCTATCTCTATAGTACAGTACAGAGTTAAGAATGACTTTAATCAATTACAACTTTTTACAAGACAGGTTCCAGGGGGCGTTTCACAAAACTTGTCATCAGTGACAAATGACAGTTTTTGTTATAGGCTACTGAAATCCTTGCTCATGATTGGTTATCAGCAGATTTCATTTGTCACTGATTTTTGTCATTTGTCATTGAAACAAAGGCTTTGTGAACCCCCCCCCCCCCCCCCCCCCCGGGTTTCTGGTTCTGAAAACCTACTATAGCTTGTGAAACATCACTTCAACCTTGTCAACCCATATTTCTAAGAACTACAACTCATGATCAAGCTTTACTGACCTGCTCCTTCGTCATCCTTGAACAGTTGTTCAGTTCCAAACTTGAGGATCTCGTCCAGTTCCCTCTTGGACATAGCTCCCTTGGCCTGAGAGCCCAGACCAGGTCTGACCACCAAGTGAGTCAACATCATCTTCTTCTTGGCCACCTACAAAAATTGGTGGTCAAAATACACACAAGGAATGGTCAGAATGCTGTATCTTGTACACATTTTCTTTAAACACGTATAACAAAACAACGCCACTGGCATCACAGTGGTAGAAGCATAAAACAAACAAGTAATGACTTTGAGAGTGCATAGAAACCTAATTTAGAACATGTTGTCGACCGATATCCAATCATATGAGTGTTTCAAAAAATATTTTGACAAATTTCTTGATGTCTTTTATCAAAGACTTCAGAATGAAATAACATACCATGTTGAAGATTTGATGCACACCATTCCCCAAATCTTTAAAAATATCTTTGTCGAACAAATGGTAATCTGATGTCCAAGCAACAAAATTGTTCAACAGATGGAACCAAGTATAATAAGCTTATTCCAGATAGTTCAAATGAAAGCAAATGTTATAACTGGCACAATTACTTAATTAACTCCAAACAAATTTCTTTCTTTCAGGGGTAGTTGACTAACCTGAGTGATTCTCTCTTCCACCGATGCCCTTGTGACGAAGCGATAGATCATGACCTTGTTAGACTGACCGATACGATGCGCCCTGCTGAAGGCTTGGATGTCGTTATGGGGATTCCAATCAGAGTCATAGATGATGACCGTGTCGGCCGTGGCCAAGTTGATACCCAGACCACCGGCACGTGTTGAGAGCAGGAACACAAACTGCTCTGCTCCAGGGGCTGTTGGGGTATTCAAATGGTAATGTTAAGACTGTTAGCTCTTGTGCCATCACTAGATTAAATACTTACAAGAAGGTAGGAATAATAGGTGACCATTTCAGATGGGATTTCTTCTTTACCATACTGAATGCATTTTGCAATGGCATCTATTTGACTATATGTACTTGCATATCTCTTAATTAATTTTTTTTTCCCCCAACAGTAGCATTGCATTGATATATAAGTATTCAAACAAGATTCCCATGGCCTTCCCCAATAGTCATATAGATCTCATCAAAGAGAGACCAACTATTGGTCCATCTGGACAGGAGATCCATTAAAGCCACACTGCACAACTTATAGCTACTTGCGCCCTCTATATAGCAAACAATGCCTAATGGGTGCCCATTGGTCCCCAATGGTCCCCTTTTTCTTATGCTTTTTGTTGTTGTTGAAATAAATCTTTATTCAGATAAAATTACGGATAACATCGTACATAAATATTCATAACAAAGCACTTAATCACATGTTTAAATGAGATCAAATCAAATTATAGATCTCTATTTACTTGATAGCAGATTGTAAATCAGTAATCATCTTACTCCACTTAGTAATATTCAAATCGGTTGTCTTAGTTTTATTTTCCTCTACTTCTTGTTTGTATTTCAACATAAATAAAAAAAATCTTGTTTCTTATGTTAATTGGGAGCTGATTTGATGTGATAACCATCTGTCAGTGACCATGCAGGAAGGTCTAATCCCTCCTGGCCAAACTAGTGCAGAGGGGCTTTAAGAGCCGTTGCTACCTGACTGACCACAGCATTAATATATAGTCTTCATAAGATACCGGTGTGTTGGCTCAGTCAGTAGAGCGTCCACCTCACAACCGGGAGGTCGTGGGTTCGATCCCCGGCCGCGTTATACCAAAAGACGTTAAAAGACTGGAGTTGCTGCTACCTTGTTTGGCGTTCAACAATAAGGGATAGAGTAACGTCGATCTGGCGCTGCTCAGTAGCTGCCGGGCTCACGATCAATTGGGCAAAAAGAATTTCCATTTTCGGTTTAATAAAATTTGGAGTGGACTTATATATATATATATTATTATTATTATTATTATTAAGTTCTTACCATTGAATCTATCGATGGCCTCTTGCCTCAGACCTCCTGTGACACCACCATCAATCCTCTCATACTTGTAGCCTTCACCTTCCAAGAAGTCTTCCAGGAGATCCAACATCCTCGTCATCTACAAACATATCAACGATAAGATGCCATTGTTTAAAGGTAAAGGCCAGTTTTAGAAACGCCCCCCTCTCGAAAAATGAAATGGAAGCTCTTATTACCAATCATGTGCAAGAATATGTTTTGACTAATACGTGATGATACAAATTTTGCCGGGAAACTGCCTACTAATTGATATATTTGGTGCATTATTATATCTATTTGGACCGGATAGACATCGCGCACGTGTCATGCACATGTCGCGTAGTCCCATATACATCTTCCTGTATACAGTGCTTGTAACTTTACCAAGACTGGGCCAAATTTCTTATCATTTTGATGATTCCAGAACCTTGAAGTACACTGTAAATCATTTCCTTGAATGCTTGCTCACTCACCTGTGAGAAGATGAGCACTCTGTGGTTGTCCTTCTTGAGCATCCTCAACATCTTACAGAGGAGCACCAGTTTACCGCATGACTTGATCAACGATACCACCTCAAAGGCTCCATTCTGTAGTCTTTGAGCATCCTGCAATGACAAATTTATATAAATTCACATACAAGCTTAGCTAGGGACAAGGCACAGAGAAGAAACTACTGGGGGTGTTTCACAAAGATTTTAAGTTGAACTTATCTGTAAGTTGGACTTAAAAATTATGGAAAGCCGCTAGCATCTTTGAAAATATTTTGTAAAAGTTATTTCAAAAGGCACATATTGTTAATTCAAATCATTCATATTTTCTATTATCAAGGAGATTTCATGTTCTTGATGTATAATTTATAAAAAGTCTAAAATACTTGAATTTCTTATTTGAATATATTGTATTTGAAGGCTACAAATAGCTCTCCATAATATCAAAGTCCAACTTAGAATTAAGTTCAACTTAGGATCTTTGTGAAACACCCCCAGAACTGACTCGACATGAAACTGTGAAATTTGGCTGCCCTAAGGCACTTTGGTAATCAAAACAATCCAGTGAGAACTTAGTCATGTCACAGAGACGACAACATGGTGATCGACTAAGACTATTTGCTCCAGCGACAATTGCTACAGGCTTTATTCGTCAAAGATCTAAAGGTCTAATGTTGGAGCTAAGGTTGTAAGTGGGTTTAAAATCAGGTTTCAGAAAAGGGTTAGAGTTTGGTCTAGGACTTAACCTAGTGATTGAGAGAGACCACAGAGCGATTGTCACATGTCACATCATCAGCAACATCTACATTGAGAATAATCAGGTGATAAAATATAATGACAAAGTGTTGCAGCAATGCACAAAACGTTGGGATCTTTTAGATCCCTAGTTGACCATACATTGCGAGACAAACGAATATCACTAGCTATATTATTTTCGATACTACATCCACAATGAGTAATATATTTAGCATTCCTGATCTATATTGGTGACTTACAGCAGCTGCGGTAGGGAAGAGATAGGGATGGTTGCAGCATTTCTTGAGGTCCATCATGATGTTGAGGAGTGACACGCTGCCACCGCCAGCGGCCTTGGTATTCAGAGCCTGAAAGTTGCGGGTCAGGATGTACTTGTAGTACTTCCTGGAGATCAAAGGATAAAGATGGATAGTAATTAATAATATTAAACAATATAAAAAACAAAACAAAATCCATTACTAATATACTTACATAGTGCTTTGTACATCCATGTCTTCAAGTGTCCCCCTTGAATGACATTCTCATTATACCAATAATTAAATATTCACCAATTATTTCCAAATAGCAGCTACATGGCCAAAAATATGTTAAAATCTATGTGATTGACATCATGGACATTAATAGCTTAGAGTCATTCTCTTTTCTTCATCTCATCCTAGAGATTTGATATTGCAAGAGAAGTTTGGAATTGACCTATGCACAAATCACAAATTTCTTCCTTTGCATAAATTGACATTTCTGTAAACTAACATGCCACAATATTTGAAATCCAGGAAATACTAACGATTATGAGATATCAAAACCAAGTGAAGTCATATACAGCATTCTATGTATTTTTTGTCTTTAGTAAAAACTGAAAACAAAAGCCCTGTCCTTTCTTTCTTTATTTGAAATATATTTGCTCTCTTTCTCCTTCCTATTCTGTATCATGGTAATAGTTCATAATAATGTGAGGGAAAAGTACATACTTCTGTAGGGGGCTGAGCTCCACACGGACGATGAACTCGCTCTTGGAAGGCATACCCTTGAGCACATCAGCCTTGAGACGACGCAGCATGTGAGGACCCAACATGTCATGGAGCTTCTTGATCTGATCTTCCTTGGAGATGTCTGCAAACTCCGCCAAGAAATGCTGCAGGTTGCTGTACAGGTCAAAGGTCAAAGATCAAAGTTGACTTCTCTATTGGTATTTTATTAGATGCTGCTTATTATAAGTATCGGCTTGCATGGTGATGTAGATTACAGTAGGCTTACGGTTGCAACTCAACTGATGAGGGATAGTCAACCTATTTGAAACGTCAAGCCCCTCCTACTACCCATCATTTCATACCAGCACCACAGTCCTTCTCACGACGAAAACAAAAAATAATAACTGTAGAGGTATATTTTCAGATGTACTTTTAAGAAGTCAAGTAATTTACTATTTCGCAGAAATGCAGGAAGTTTGTTCCATAGACATAGACATGGGGCAATGGATTTAAAAGATTTTAAGCCAGCCTGTTTTGGGAATATAGGAATGAGAAAGGAAGGAGCTGATGTAGAAAAGGGACTTACTTGAATTCATCAGGACTCATGAAGTTCAAGAGATGGAAGAGTTCCTCCAAGTTGTTCTGCAGAGGGGTTCCAGTCAGGAGCAACCTAAAGCGGATGTTGTAGCCACTCAGAATCCTGAAGAACTGTGGCAACAGGGACAAAAGATAAATTTTTGACATCTTCTTGGAAAACGGCAATATCAACATAGTGAGCTGTCTACTTGATATCTCAACATACACATTGTCATGGTTCATTCTTTTTTACTATTATTATCAAAACTTCATGCACTTGATACAATTATTCTATTAAGGATACGCAAATCAATTTCTAGTTGAGTAGACCAACACCCTATGCCTCCCTTGGCACTTTTTCTGTCAATCTTCATGTGCACTAAACATTAACTTATTCCATGCTATGGGCTGCAAATCCAACCCAAATATTACAATGCAATCGCCTAACCAGAACTCAACTCCATCTTTAAAGAGCAAACTACAAATGGACTTTGTAGGAAGGAACATACCCTTGATTGGTTGTTTTTGAGCCTGTGGGCCTCATCGACCACCAGGACATCCCAGTTGACCGACTGGAGTGTACCAGCATCAATGCTGATCAGCTCGTAGGATGTCAAGAGAACATGGAACTTGACCAGGGAACCCTGTCGCATCTTGTATGCCTTCTTGCCTCCCTTCACTGCATCGTCTTCAAAAGAGAACTCATTCTCTCTGCAAGATGGGGTGGGAAAGGGGGGGGGGATCATAGCAACATGTTAACAAGTTATTCAATATTTACATAATCCCAGATATACTGCACTTCATTGCAATTGCAAGCCTCGCCCTACATGTTTGATGAAACAATACCCCAAGTAATTGTCGCCAAAGGAAAAGTCCAGGTCGGTCATAGAAATGGAATATAAAATTTAATGTTTGTTGTTGCTCACAATACGAATTTAGCTGAAAGTGCATGACAGATGGAAGTGATTACAGTTACATTTGTGCAAATGATTCATTCATACAATCTTGATTTTTTCTTTCTTATTAAATAAAGTAGTGATGAATAGATTCACTACCCCAAGAAGATGACCCCAAAAAATACCCATAAAAGAGAAGATTTCAGAGGAGGGATAGAGATGAGAAGAGAGAACAGAATTCAAACAAGCAACAGAGACTTAGGATGGACATAGTAGAGAACTGAAAAGAATATAGACAAAGCAAGAGAGATGACAGACGAACGACAGACAGATGGACAGAGAGACAAAAACAGCAGATGGTTCTTACCTGATAATAGCTCTGCTGTCCTTGTCTCCGGTGTATGTGACGACGTAGAAGTCTGGAGCCCAGAACTCAAACTCTCTCTCCCAGTTGATAATGGTAGAAAGAGGAGCACTGATCAGGAAAGGTCCTTTCGAATGACCCTGTATCAAAGAAAGATGTGTGTATTTGTGGGGGGAAATTATTTTGAAGTCTTATGGAGTGAATAGTGAAGAGTGAATATGCATTTCGAAAAGAACGGGTTGTGAATAAGATTGTAAACCATTTAAAATCTTTTGATATTACAAATCCCTAAAAGATATCACAAACACTCCAAAAAGCAATATATTTTTCATTTGTTGAAACACAGGATGAATTATTCTGTAATGCATGGGACTGTCTGGTTATTCAATTCAACATTTTCTTTCTCTAGCACGACAACCCCTACCTATCACATCATGAAATAAAACTCACAAGCAAATTCAGAGAGAAGATAAAAGTGTAAGTAGGCAGATTCTATGTGAGAGAACAAAGCTATCAAATGAGTGGATGGTGTAGGAGGGAATTATATCATTTTCAAAATTCCTTTGAGCAAAGCCTTGTTCCTTTCCCCCATTGTCTCTCTCTCTCTCTCTCTCTCTCTCTCTCTCTCTCTCTCTCTCTCTCTCTCTCTCTCTCTCTCTCTCTCTCTCTCTCTCTTTCCCCTTCCTTTCACATCATTTTCTTGCTCCATCCCCCATCTCCCCCCCCCCCCCATGTAGCTATTACCCATTGTGAGAGCGCATCCAACGATTCACTTACCTCCTTGTAGAGAGAGTAGAGGAACGCGATGGTCTGGATAGTTTTGCCCAATCCCATCTCATCGGCCAGGATGGTACAGATATCATTATGCCAGGAGTATCTCAGCCAGTTCAGACCCTCAAGCTGGTAGTCATGGAGCTTGCCTCCGCAGGCATCGATGTACTGGGGTTGCACCTCAAACTTCTTCCTCAACTGTGAAGCAAAAACGAAATTGAGATGTATTAAGAATGGATTAAGGTGATTGCATGCCGATCAGCTATAAATTATCAGCTGAGAGTCACATGGGCGTTAACTCTTGTCATTTAACACAGTTAATGACATTCTGGCTCCCAATACATGAAATATTCTGAGGCTGAGCAGCAAGCTTCCTACAAAATGGAGAAAGAGGAAAAAATAAATTTTCTTCATCTCTTCAAAACTGACATATTTTTAAACTACAAAAAAGATTGATCTTTATGGTTTAAAGACAGACACTCTTGCAATCATTGTTCCAAAGTCAATTTCTTGCATTACGCTAAGCTGAAGGTTAGGGTTAGGTATAGTCTTGGACCAAAAGTTGAAGTTGGTTGATGTAAGAAGCTGACTCTGCAACAATTATCCTAGAAACATGTGAGAACATCATCAATTACCACATGCTAAAAATGATCAGTGTGCACTTACATCCGTCGTTGGCTCCAGCTTCTGTATGGCTCTTTGTTCTCTCTCATGGCTCTTGCCTTTCTTGCTCTTGCCTTTACTCTTTTTCTTCTTCAATGGCTCGCCAAACATCAGGGCTCTGGAAGAAGGACGACACAGACATCTTTTTTTTTAATTCCAAGTCCAAACAAAATTAAAAAGAGCAACAATCATAGTACACTGAATGGTCTTGGTGGGTCTAAGACGATGTTTTGACTGTAAACTAAGGAATAATGGTTCTGTCGAAGGATATATTTTCAATATTTCCTGAAAGTAAAGTATTTCAAACCTTCGTGTAGACATAACAAGTTTGTTGGTCTCTTAGCCCTCTTTGGTCACAGGTTATGCATACTATCCAAATCTTGAATTCTAAGCTGTTTGATTGTGATATATATTGTCACTGCACGTATCCACTTTGTATTACTGCACATACACACCACTGCACAAGCTACGTTAGTAAAAAATATTGCAAAATAATTCTTAGGTAAAATGGAATTGGTTACTTACTTGAGGTCCCAGAAGTACTGGATTTGTTTGTTTCCCTCAGGGATCTTCCTCACAAACTCCTCCTCCTCCCAAGTGGAGTGATCGTAGGGCAAGATCTTCCACTTGATGAAGAAGCTGATGTTGCCATAGCGATCAGTCTGATAGCATCACAACAACAAGACAGATGAAATGAATGTGAGTTAAAGACATATACACTTGGTCATGAATAGACATTGACATGAACCAAATTGGAATGAACCTAACAGCTGCTTACATCAATAAGAAATAGTTTTAATTATACAAGTGATTTCATCTGCAGAAGTTCAAGATAATTCAAATCCTCAATTACATAATAGAACTAAGGTACTGCGCCAAATCTAAATGATCCTACCCAAATTCCAAGAAATGAAGTGATTAAAGATTAATGATTGCTTTTACCTCACTGATGAGAAGCAAATACATGCTTGTAGATGGGCAACCAATGGGACACACATGTACAGCCTGAAGTCCTAATCAAGAGACTTGGTGATGGAAATTAATACTTACCAAAGGGCACTTGGTTTCAAACCAAGGACCTCCCACTCACTAGACCCCCGCCCCCCCCCCCCCCCTTAATCACCATGAACCATCACAGCTTCCTACAATGATCGCTGGAGTTGTCTAGCTAAATATCCAGCTAACTCACTTTGACTGCCGACAGCCAGAAGGGCGTTAACTGATATCCTATTACAGAGTTAATACCCTTTTGACTCTAAGTAGATGATAATAATATGGATATTTATATAGGGGCAGTATCCACCAGGCTCTGATGCTCATGGCACTTCACACATATTACCCTGGTCATAGCCGAGCTGCCAAAATAACTAGCGCTCAAGCATATCATGTACCCATTTAATCTGGGTGGAGAGTCGCAAATGGAGAGTCGCAAATGTAGAGTAACGTCTTGCCACGGGACGTTAGTGCCCCGGCGGGACTTGAACCCGTACCTTGTGATATGCAGACGGGTGACTTATCCACTAGACCACAACACCTCTACACCTCTGATGCACTCTGTCTTGTGATCGATGCTTACCTTGCTGTTGATAATCCTGTGTATCTGCATCCACTCTGGCTGCACACCATACTGCACAAACTTCTCAATGGTGGCAAGAATCTCAGCGTCCACTTCATCTTCCTCTTCTTCCTCCTCCGTGTCTTCTCCCTTCTTGTCGGAGTCTGTCTCAGACTTATCCTCCTTCTCCTCCTCCTTCTCCTCTTTCTCTCCATCCTCTCCTTCTTTGGCTTCTCCATCCTTTGCTTCTGCTTCTTTCTTCTCCTGGTTGGATAGACAGAAGAAATGAAGAGTGGATAGTTTAAATTGGTTATCATGTACTAATGAATACAACATATTTGCTGTAAGAGTATTAGAAGGGATACTGACATGTTCTATTCTGAAATTTTATCAAAATAAAGGAAAAGTTTAACTTTTCACTTACAAGTAGTGTAAACCTAAAATGTTGAAAACATTACTTTCCTCTTTTCTTGGTTGAGATTTTGACAGGTTCACCGAACAATGCAGATACAAGTATTACAAAAAGGGAAAAATTACATGCGTCCTTCGCAAAGAATGTGGAAATTTGATCACTGTAAGAACAAAGACTGGAGGCAGTTTCCAGCATCATATGAGAAGTAGGCTTAATACTTACATGTTCCTTCTCCTCTTCAGCCTTGTGTTTATGCTCTTTGTCCGTCTCGTGATCTTGGTGGATCTTAGCTTCTTTCCTCTTGGCCCTAGCGATGCTCTCCTCATCATCAAACGTGGGTGGGTCCTCCATGTCATTCTTGCGGATGAAGTTCCTGTGCAGGATACTGTGGAATACCTCCATCTGAAGAAAGAAGTAGGAGTGGTGGTGGTGGTTATTATACATGACTGCTAAGAGAGCATAAATGCTTGTTAGTAAGCAACCAGACGGCTGACGGCTTTAGGTCCTCTCTGAGGGACCTGGCAATGAAGATTAATGCCTTACCAAAGGGCACTAGCGCATCGACTTGGTTTTGACCCTGGGTCACCGGATTACGAGACCACTGCTCTACCGACTGTAATATTTGATATTATAAACAGGTCTCAAAAAGTAAACGACCCCTTCAACATGACACTTGCAATTAAGTGAGTATGTAACAATGTAGACCAATCTATCGCAACATATTTGCGATATGTATATAAGAGATAGGAGACTGCAAACTTGCAATTTATTGGAGGACTTGCGACTGATTTGGATCGATCGCAAGTCTTTGTAACACGGAGTCAGAGCTATACAGCTCACCATTGTCATGTAATTTGTTTTTGTTTCTTTGTCAATGTCTTCTGTCTTCTGCCCTCAGCTAATTTCAACCCAAGTACACTCACCTGTAGTTCAGACACCCATTCAGAATGCCAGAAGGACATGCCATGGAACTTGCAGAAGAATTCTCTGATGGGTTTGGGTTTCTGCTCCCGGAGTTTCTTGAGGATGGGATCCTCCTCCTTGGGCTCTGCTCCTTCCTCCGGCTCCTCCACCGGTTCCTCTGGAGGCATCTCGGGTGTGTTCCATCTCCAGGTCAGGATCTTCTGGACACGCCCTGCTGGAGGCTCACACTGAACATCAAATAATAATAATAATAGTTCAGTTCTTGTTTAGCGCATAATACATTATGAAATAACATCTCTATGCGCTTCCAAAGAGCTTTTGAAATTAGTACCCTAGCTTTAGCTCCGGCAGCCGTTATCAGCGCACAGTGCATTTCAAGGAATAATCCTACCAGGTACCCATTTACCTCACGTGAGTGTGGCAAATGTAGATCAATGTCTTGCCAAAGGACATTAGTGCGGCGGCGGGACTCGAACCACGGACATTGTGATCGACAGTCCGGTGACGTATCCACTTGACCACAACACCTCAAAGAGGTCCATGTATACACCTAATCAGTGGTTGGTAAAGATGCAACCTCACACCATGTAATGTTTCTGATCATTTCCAAAATCATATTTTTGGCACAGCTGATTTCCATACTTAATATACATATTTCAATGTGTATTTTACGATGTTAATCAGCATTAGGGCCACAAAAAGATTTTCTGGAAGCTAAAATTAGACATCACGAGATGAATTTCTGAATTTCAGTCAACCATTCAAACGTTATGATACAACAACTTTAGACATTTCAATATGAACCTTGTCCTACAATGTCCTACAATGTCCTACAATGTAAATTATGCCATTCATCCTTGGGCTGCAAAAGCCTACAAATATTTCGATTTTTTGCAATGGAAACCATGGCAATTCATCTTCATTAAAAACCTTTGAAGAATTCCAAACATGAATATAATAACTTTTCACTTTAAGGGCAAAAACGGTTTGTTAATTAAGAAAGATCACTTCTTTATTGACCGCAAATACAACTAGATTAACAAAAACCACTCGCCACTATAAACATGGTTTTGTTATCACAATCGATAGCCTTTGCACCCTAGCTGAACCTAATAATGTAGGGGGAGCAAAGCAAAGAGAAATATATATCAAAATATATATTTTTGTTTACTCACAGCACATCTGGGGCAGACCCAATCATCATCGGGAATCTTGCGTAGGGGCGGATTGAGGCAGAAGATATGGTATGAGGATGGGCACTGCTCACAGCACAACAGCTCTCCACCGTCATGACATACACGACAGAACTCCATGTGCTCATCCGCAGGTTCAGGCTCTGGGATGCCCTCTCCTTCCTAAATAAGACAGGGCAAAGAAGAACAAATTAAAGTCATGTAATGTCCATTGAAGAAGAAAAAAGTTGTGAATTGTGAATTTCAATAAAAACAAAAAACTCTTTGTTACGAGAAAAAGAAAGAAAAGTGATCTTATTGTTGATCAACTAACAAAATATATCCCTTACTTTTGTATACTCAACAAATTAAGAAGAAAAAAAGTTATTGCAGTTTTTCCCATACGTGGTTCTCTCACTGAAATCCTAATTCAAATACAGCATGAGAACATATTGCGTGAAGTTCTTAGATTAAAGAAAAAACACTAGGGGAAAGATACTATTAGTCATTAGCAGACACATCTTTAATTCACCTTTTACCCCATCTAGTGGTTGCATACACTTACAAGTTCATTCTAGGAGTATGTACTCTTTCATGTAACTTGTTATCAATAAAAAGTGAAATTACTGATATAAACTACTGAAATTGCTCATTTGAATGGATGGACAAAAGGTTTCTTACAGAACTGTGTCAATTTTGTTATTGATACATTGATTGAAACAGACGCAGTTTGGTACTCTCCCTTTGGAAATGAAAGACTGTAAGTCAGACAGGGGCTGTTTCACAAAGATCCTAAGTTGAACTTATCTTTTAAGTTGGACTGAACAATTATGGAAAGCCGTTAGCATCCTTGAAAATATTTTGTAAAAGTTATTTTAAAAGGCATAAATGTTGATTCAAATCATTCATATTTTCTATTATCATAGGAGATTTCATGTTCTTTATGTGGAATTTTTGCTCTTGAATATATTTTATTTTAAAGCTACAAATAGCTTTTCATAATTTTTAAGTCCAACTTAGAGTAAAGTTTGTGAAACACCCCCCCCCCCCCCCCCCCCGGTGTCTTTTGTACTTACACAGTTGGGGCAGCTCCATTTGCCCTCGGGTGCAGTCTCCAGCTCCGGATCTAAGCACACCAGATGGAAGGCCTTAGGGCAGGTATCACAGAGGATGATCTCCCCTCCTTGCTGGCATACCTCACAGTAATCCTGATGGTCTGTCTATCATACACAAACAAGGGGGGGATACGAGATGAACATCAAATCCAAATTACCACATTAAATTAGATTGAGTCTTGAGTACTGGCAATGACTGGATCCCCCTTACCCATTCCATGATGCCTTAAATTTTTAAGAGCATTGCATTATATCCTGGTTTGCTTATGACAGCAGAAAAAGATCATCATCCATGCTTCTTTCTTCACTACTTCCAAATGGTTTACACAAAGCAAAAAGAATCACAAGGAAAAGCTTACCTCGTAACCATCTTCATCATCATCACCCGTCTTCTTCTTTTTCTTCTTCTTGGCTGGTGCCTTTGGCTTGGACGCCTTGGGAGCTCTGCTACGAGGTGCCGGTCGACTGGCGCTGTCAGACTTGACACTTGTGCTCTTTGAGCTGGCTTCTTCATCTTCTTCCGCAGAGTGCTCGCTCTCGCTCAGGCTGTCACTGTCCTCCTGGACAATACAATGATTAAATAATAATATTCAGCTTTTATATAGCGTTTAAAACATCTCGGACGTCTCTAAGCGCTTTACAGGTATCCTATTACCCCCGTCATTGGATTCAGCGCTTGCCCGCAAACACTATGTGCACAATCTCCACTCCCTGGGGAGCATTCCAGCCAGGCGTGACTTGACGCTCAAAAACTGTTTGACCAACAATGAAGGTCGCATCCTATCGGGTACTCATTTTAACACATGGGTGGAGAGTAGCAAGTGTAGGTTAATATCTTGCCAAAGGATATTAGTGCCGTGTAGGGATTTGAACCCTCGACCTTCGCATCTCCAGTCAAGCGCCTTAAACCACTCGACCACGACACTCCCACTCGACCACGACACTCCCACTAATATAAAGGATTAAATAACTAAATATCAATATCCTGCATTAAACTGTGGTCATACAGTACTGTACTTTGTTTTGCTTTCTTCATGAACCACATGGATTACATTGTTCTACAAAAAGACCGAGATCAATCTAGGATTTGTCTCCATTCGCAGAGAGCAAGAACAATGATGGACATTTCAGAACATATGCCTATTCAGAATGAATCGGAACATCCAAAGCAAATTTCTCAACGATTGCTAGACTGTTGTGATTCTGACTAAATTCTTCTACAAGAATATAATGAGATATAACAAACAAATGTTCAAATGCATGTTGTATACTAATACATTCCATGGTCAGTACACATGTTGTAATGATCTGTTGGACCCCAGAAGGACATTAACTCATATGATGTAACACAACTTTTGAAATGAAATTGTATCATTATAGCTTCCCAAGTCATTGTTTGTCAAAAACTATGCAGACCTTTTTTATTTAACAGTTGTTTAAAGCTCAAATTGTTTTTAAACGAGTACAAGCATTATAGTCCACATCATGACACTTACAGATGGGGATTTCCTCTTTTTATGCAGACCTCCGACCTTGATCTTCAGAGGTGCAACGGTTTTCTTCTTCTTGCCTTTGTCCTTTCCCCTACCTTTACCTGGACAGGAGAAAAAAAGAAAAAGGAACAAAAAGGATGAATAATGGACAGTTAGTTTTTTTCTAAGTTTATACTTGATAGAGTAAGCTCCAAATATGTTTGTATTTGTATGGCTTTATATTTAAGTGAATAAGGAACAAAACCAAAAAAAAAAACCTTTTAATTATGATCTGGGAACCACATATATTATTTTGCAGCTTTAAATATGTGTACAGATTTTCTCCCTGCTGCACATTGAAATCAAAGGGATGTTCTATTGACATTAGTGGTGCAAGGCAAATGCTGAATGTGGATACCATGGTTTCTCTAATTCAGAGAAATATGTTCCTAGTACATCAACTGACAAACAAAAATTCCAATGATAATAATCTGGATTTATATTGCTCTGGATACGGAAAACCGTCTCTAAGCCCTTTACAGATATTATTACCCTGGTCATCGGATAAAATCTTGTGAACAAAAATTATAACATAAATGCTTAAACAATAAAACGTCTAAAACGTACTGTGATACATTAATTAAAATTATTCTATTCCTCCACTCCGAGGTATGTTGTGTAAGGTATTACCTGGAGTCAAATTAGCTTATTAATATTCCTCTCTTTGTAAAAATATGTGGGAGAATGTTTTATCCTCAATCCACCCACATGTAAAGTGATTCCAATATCACACTTCTTTGCAACAATTCAAATCATATCCTATTTCCTTACTGCAATTCAAGTACATGGAATGTGTCTGGTTTCCTTACCTTTTCCTCCCTTCTTTTCTTTCACTTCCTCCTCCCTCTCCTCTTCCTGGACTTTGACATCTACTTCCAAGCTCTCCCTCTTAGCCTCCTCGTCGTCCCCGTCGTCCACCTCCTCCTCTGCCTCTGCTTCCTTGGCTTCATCCGCGGAGGGTTTGAAGTCCATGACGGGCGTCGACACCGGCTTCTTCTTCTTGGGGTTGTTGGCGGCAAACTCTTTCCACAGAGCCGCCAACAGGTTGACTAGCTTCTGGGAATGAAGTTTCGGGGCGTTTTCCAAAACCAGGGGACGGATGTTATCCGTGTAGAGTTTGTAGTTGATGAGCTCGTCATAGTCTGATTCTGTGTACTCCATCTCAAACTCCTCAATGCCGTACTTCCGCATCAAGTCCATGGAGGTCTCGGTCTGCGGCTTTGGAGGAGGGATGAGGTTCAATTGGAATTCCATAGGCTGAAGAGGGAAACGGAAGTACAATGTAATGTAAAGCAAGGAAAAACATGTGTCAAGCATGATACAATGTAATAAACAATATCTGAAAATTATAAGCTGGACAAATTGATCATTACTCTAACAATGCATAATTTTGAATTATTTCACTTATTGACAAAACAAATGTTGTGCTAAATTTTACATGCATTGTCTGGATCCTGAAGGTATGAACATTGCATTGCTCTTTACACTGTAAGGGAAATATATTTCAGGAAATTAAAACTTGAATCAACAAAAAAATTGATTAATGAATGAAAATGAAATGCCTGAATCAGGGTATAAAGAATGAATTAAGAAAAAATAATGCCTACTGCACCACCTTTGGTGGGCGGAGGTATAAACAAAAGCTCAGATGATCACGCACAAATACTTTTAAAACGAATGAAATCAAAACGTTATAAGATATTAATGAGGAACACGCATGCTAAAATAACTTTATTATATACACACTGTACATGTACTTAAGTTTTTTTGGTTGCATTAATTTTATTCCGCACTTGTTTTTTCTATTCCTAACCAGGTTTCACTGTTACCACTTTCCCTCCCGTGCAATACAAGTGAACAAGAATCAGGAGTAAATGTATATAAATGCCACAATATATCTGGAATTTGAGAGATTTGACTCCAACCTTGTATTCTTTCTTCTTTTTGCTCTTTCCCTTGGTCTCTCCTTCCGATTCATCGCTTCCATGATGGTCACTCCCCTACATGCACAAACAAGCCAAAACCACAAGCAAACAAACATTATTTATAACCAGCCCAAATTAAATGGGACCATGCAGTGATAAACTATAAGTACAATTTAGTTCTGCACTGCCATACATCATAACCTTTCGGTGGAATTAGAATGCAATAGACCAGTTCACGATTAGCACATGTCCCAAATGACCCTAAATATCCACAGATCTCCAAAACATGAAGAGGTCCCACTTTGTACATTTTGAAATAATCACTCCTACAGCAATGGAGGTGCTACATACATGTAAATAGCCTTGTTTCCCCCTTTTCAAAGAATGCTTCCACCTATGTATCATGGAGTGCACTACTTTCATGAGCACGTATCCAGTATTTTGTCCGTGTATTTCACAATTTGGTCTGCAATGATCTTTATCTGCTTATGCTCAGTCTGCAACTATGAATTGGCTTATTGAAATCACCCAAATCGTAAAACTTTTGACTAAGACAAGCTTACTCTTCTTCTTCTTGAAATTAAAAAAGAGTTCATGCAATGTGAAATCATGTTATCATGATGGAACACAGTAGTAAGAAGAGCAATTAAAAAAGAAACTGGTTAAAACTGGTATAAAAAATACCATACAACTGTAGGTGATGCATGAGAACTGCATGAGAATTTGGCATATTTTACATTTCAAGACAATTTTAAAAATCATAGGCTATTAAGCAATTTATTTAATTACATCTCATTCCCTATGCAACTTTGTTTTTATCGAGAATTACAATCACGTGATAAATTCAAAATTTAACCACATTCATTTTCAATCAATCATGAGAAACATGGGAAATAATAAACAATTAACAAAACATCTATTTTATTAATTTAACCATTCGACAGTGTATATTAATATGAATATAATCCACAGCAAACAGTGTAAATTAGTAATCAAATGTCTGAACTCTGTAAAGTAAAAATATTTCAACTAATTCCAATTGGGTAAGTCTCACTCTCTCATAAGTAATGTTGAAAAAACTCTTGAAACCGGGCATCATATTTAAATAACTATCTCTACGTTGTTGTTTTTTCTTCACAAAAAAATAAGAAATAAAATAAATGTTGTTAAATTATCATATTTAGAAGGCATGGAAAAAAAAATAATTAAATATTACATCTCATTAGAAAATCCATCATTTGAAATTCATAAGTATCTTTATTTCACCAATTCTTTTTGTTCTTTGATCAATATTACTTAATAATTAATAATGCTATCAAAACAAATGATCAAACAGCATCAATTGATCAACAACAAAAATCCAGTTTATTCACTCAAACAAAAAGAACATGCGATATTTCAACTTCAGAAAAGAAAACAATCAAACAATAAAAGAGGATCAGATTTAACATAATGTTTGTACTTTGACAAATACATTACCTCGCTATCTCGCTTTCGCTTTTTACTGGATTTTCCATCCTTCCTCTTCTCCTTCTTATTCTTCTTACTTTTTTTCTTCTTTGGCGGGGTATCTCCATCTGCTAAAAAATCACAATAAACTTCATGAAAAAAGGTGAAAAATTACAGTTATAAAGAAGGCGGACGTGGACACAGCAACAAAATTTGATTTTGTAAACCTTCACAACAAATTTTTGAAAATGTTCAGGGACTTCAGCGCAGCAACAAAAAACACGATATCGAGCTAGAAAATCTTGAGGAATCTGTTACTATGAAGAAACAAGAAATTCTACACAGATAACTGATATTAAGTGTGGCCTTTTTAAAACAATTTTGATTGAATATGCTCAAAATTACAATTCATCTTTGTTTTCATAATGTATTTTTCATTTGTTCATGTCAAGATTACAATCACACTGGCACTCATTCACACTCACACAGCACAGCTGTCTTTTACATGTGTACAAGTACAACGCAGTGAGCAACACACGCTGAAAACCATTCACGTGTAAGCAATACACACAATGCTACAAACACACTCGCATGCTTGATAAAACACGGCACACACACACAAACCACACGCTCATTCATTCACCGTGCGAAAATGAACGGATTGATAATTATCTTCATAACTAATCCGCTTTCGACTCTTCGCCAAAACCTCTCATTTTCACAACATTCTGGGTCCAATACGAGAAAACTATCATCAAAAGACTAAAGCTTAATTGTCATAGCATGAACTGGACACACATTTCTTAAGATTTGGCGCCGGGTTTTCAAAATAGTGTTATTGGAAGATCGCCGGTGTCTAGGCGTTCGCTAGAGACGATGATCGATCACGTCGTTATTTTAGTTACGATGATCGGCGGACCTTGACCAATTTTTCTATATTGTTTAAAAATCAAGATTTTAAGCTGTAAAAATATCCTAGCATCCTTGGGAGGCTCCAATATTGTCATATACACTATAATCTATGCCACAATAAAATTTGAGAGTAAACAAATCACTGTAGCGCACTCGTAAAAATCACCAATATCATCGATATTTTCAATAATCATTCACATACCGAACTCGGCCTGTTCGCCTCCCTCGTTGATGGCCCCACTCTCACCGGTCGTGTCTAAATCATATCCATAATCTTCCGTTTCTTCTTCCTTTTTTGATGCTCCTGGCATTTTGAAATGGCTCGAGAATATTCCGAGAACGGAATCCTCCTACCAGAACACTCACACCCTGTCCCAAAGTGATGAAGAAAATCCGGGTTATCGAAAGGGGAGGAAGTCAGAAGATGGCGGAGACAAAAACTTACCCCCTCGACAAAAGGGTAGTAAATCGTTAATTGCACATGCGCATAATGACGTCAGTGGCCCTTACTTCCATCCCATAATAATTACTTCTCCATCCCATAATAGTTACATCTTAGTTAATGGCATAGGCTAAGGGTAGCTTACTGCTGGGACATAAGATGTGCTTAGGGCGCTTTTGGAAGAGACATATTTTTGAGTTATGAGAACTTGTTGAAGACATATACCCTTATTCATTGAAGCGTTATAAATTGATATTGTTTACAACACTCGGCTTATGCGTGTTTCTTTGCAAAATTTACCTTATTTACATAATTGTAGCGTGGTAGTATGTTACCGCACTATTAACATATTTCAGTGGCGTAGACAGGTTCGTACACCTGGGGGGGATGACTCAGGGGCGGATCTAGCTTTTTGCTAAGGGGGGGGGTTGACCAATAATGACGATGCAGAGCATCGTCGACGAGCCGCGAAGCGGCGAGCCGATTTTTTTTGGGGTGTTTATTTGAACCCCGTAAGTGATGTTTTCCTGGCATCTATTAACACAATGGAGACCATAAAAAGCAGTGCATGATAACGTCTTTTTAAATCAAGTAACAGTTAAATACACAGTTATATCCAGAGTTATCATGTGTTTGGTTAAGTTACCAGAGGAGTTGAATATCTTCTCACAATACTTGCACTTGAAAGGGTTTCTCTCCAGCGTGCGTTCTTTTTTCTTTCTTTTTTTTTTTTTTTTTCTTCTTTTTTTTTCCCTTTTTTTTGTTTGTTTGTTTTTTGGGCCGCCCAAGGGGGGGGGGGGTTTAAACCCCCTAAACCCCCCCCCCCCCCGTAGATCCGCGCCTGTTTAATCTTGTGGTTATCTTGTGGTTTCCAAACCACAAGATAACCAAAAAATACTTGTAAGATTTTCTTTTTTTTACCGTCTGAATTGGCTTTCACCGTGTGAATGCGGCTAATAACAATAAACACAATTACAATAATGATGAGGATTATTATTATCATCATCATAATGATTATTATTATTAATATTATAATTGTTATCATTATTATTATTACTATTATTATCATCATTATGACTTATTAAGTAAGCAAATATCATTCCCCAAAACCTGGGGGGGATGATTGTACATGCCATCCCCCCCACCTTGTGAGGTGGGGGGGATGCATCCCCCTCATCCCCCCCGTTGTCTACGCCCCTGACATATTTCATAGAAAGTTCGGAGGCGCGGTCAAGTCCAACTCACATTCACACATTGACATTTTGACAGATTATGTTTTCAGTGAATCTGAGACTTTAGTCGTCTTGGGGATTTCTTTCCGATTTGAAGACTTTTGAAAACAAAATGTTTCCACCTGTATACTATGTAAGATACTACTTGATTAGAAAGACTGTAAACTTTCTTTTCTCGTTCTTCCGCTTTTTTTCAGTACAATTTATAAAGAGGAAAACTGATCTCAGTATTTTGTCGTTTCATCTTCTTTTTTTCCAGCAAAGTCGTATAGGGCATTAAAATAGATCACTGACTCAGATAAAAATGATAGGCGAGTTTCAGAAAGAAACTGGGACCTGTCCAGAAGGATCTCTAAAACTTTTTTCCAGTCTCATCAAAAGTCCGAGAAACAGTTTGTTTAAAACTTATCATATCTCTGATGGTGAGCATAATTTTTACAGTATACTTTTTCTTCCCCTGTCCTTCTTAGGCACTTGTGTACTGTTCCAGGTCTTGGCTATGTTGTCCATTTTCGTTGAAATGTATTTAGTCTTTACTCTCAGTATTCTTATAGTCTTTGTATCGCCAACTTCATGGTATTTTAGAGGGTTTGCCCAGATACCCGAATCAAACCAACTATACATGAGTACGCCAACTTGATTCTTATTCGTTTAAAGTCAAGATGCAGCTTATTTTAGAATTCGTCAGAACTCTAGTAGGATAAGGACCATACCTCGGTAGGCCCATATTTGGTGATAATAGTAGAAATCAGCTTTCCAATAGAAGCTCACGAAATTTACAAACTGAATATTTTGGCTTACTAGTATTTGATTATGCAAATACTACTACTTTGGAAGGAAATGAAGCCAGGTATAACATTCTGAGCAAAGAATGGATGCTGAGCCTCATGGGTATATAGCTATCCATCATGGGAATTTTAGGATGAGTAGTGCTTTTAAAAGATGATTTAGAGAACATTTTCTTAGGGCGTCACTTGTTATTATCATTTCATCAATATCTCAGCTTGATCAATGCTGGTTTTATCTCTCTCAGCTTCAGATCAATGGTTTTATCTCTCTCAGCTTCAGACTAATGCTGGTTTTATCTCATTGGCGTGAGGGCAAGCTACAACCCATACGGCATATGGGCTGAAGTACTTTTCGTAAGATTTCGTATTATTATTCTATTACTATCATAATTATTGTTATCATTATAATTTGTATCATCATTATTTTCTTGTAATTATTATCATCTTTATTATTATTATTATTTTTATTATTATTATTATTATTATTATTATTATTATTATTATTATTATTATTATTATTATTATTATTATTATTACTATTATTTTATTATAATCATTATATCACCGTCATTTTAATTTCAGTTGTTTCTGGTGGTCATAGTATTGGCAATTTAGAATTAGTTCTGTCACTTTCTCTCGTTTTTAGCTTTATAGGCATTGGTGAAGCGAGGGGTGTTTTGGGTGTTCAAAGGGGTGGGGGTTTTAGAATCATTATTTTTTTTGCTCAAGCGGGGGAGGGGTGGATGTTGAGGAGAGGAGGGTTCCGCCCCCCCCCCCACCCCCCCCCCCCCCCCCTCGCTTATTCGCCAGCTGGCTGATTCGCCGCTAAATATTTTCTCACGGAATTGGGCAAAAAACACCTCCCGCTCAAAAATCTTGGCTACGCCCTTGGCTTTAGACTCTTCTTTGCTTCAAACGAATGTAGGACCTACCTCATGCATGGGAGTGCTGATCCTTGGAAGTCGTGGCCGGCTCCATGTCATTTGACATGCAGTAATAGTCATTTACTACTCCCATTCCAACCGGTGAGCCTTGAAGGAAGCCATGTCCTGATGCCAATGAAAGGCAGGAACAGGAGATGGTGCACAGGCGCGTACGCAGGGGGGGGGGGGGGTGGGGGTTAACCCCCCCTCCTTTAACTTTTGAGGGCACGGTCTCAAACAAACATACCTGTGGTATATCCCGACTTGTAGAAATCTGTACTGACATTTCTATATTTCTCTCTGGGAAAGGTTTAGGCATAGGGCATGGGCAGATTTAAGATTGTTTGAAATGGGGTAGTAATTTCTCGACATCAACTCGGAAATCCGATCATGGGGGCCCTTTCCGGGTGGCCCCGGGGGAGGGGGTTGAGGAGGGGGATATGGAAAGGGAAGAGATCGATAGGGAGGAGGGAGAGGGAGAGGAAGAGGAAGAGGGAGGAGGGGATGATAGCAAAACAGAATTGAGCACACTTTTTCCCCATCGGCCAAACAAATCTAACCGGCCTTCTTAGTGATTTGAAAGGTGGAATCCAGGAAAGGGTGTGTGTGTGTGTATTTTTTGTGTATTTGCGATTGTTTTCTATTTTATTATTATTTTTTTTTTTTTTAAAGGGAGCTCAAATGTTTTCAGCTGCCCTTCCTGCATTCATCTATAATATATCAAGCATTTCGACTATAATCCTGCAGGACAGTGAGAGAGTGGTGGGAAATGCCATTACCACATGTGTAGGCTGTGAGGCACATGACCCCTCGATCTCCCCGTCTAGCTCCAATCTATTCAGTGATGGTCGAGGACAATTAGAGAAAGCGGGAGAGAGAGAGAGAGAGAGAGAGAGAATGAGAGAAGAAGTAAATATATATTATGTTTATGTATTCTTAAATGACGGAAAATAAATACAATACAATACAATACAACTAAACGCCCTTCCACACACCAGCGGCAGATCCAGGAGAGACGAGGGGCCCGGCCCCCTCCCCCGGCCAAAAAATTTGGATTAAAAAAAAGATAGTGACGTTGATTTTACCTTTAAAAAAAGAAGAAGACGGGCCCCCCTCCTCTGGCAAAAAAAGTAATGTTTGGTTGGGTTTTAAAAAAAAAGCGTAATACCCCCCGCCCCCCGCCCCCCGCCATCGAACAAAAAAGGGGGTGTGGGTTGAAAAAAATAGAGCTCCATACCCACCCCCCCCCTCCCTCAATCAGTAGCCTTGTACATTCGCCTTCCATTATTCGAGTAAGACCAGTCAGGCGCGTACGCAGGGGGGGGGGGTAAAAAAAACTTATTTCTTTTTAATGTGTCTAATCTATTTTGGCGGAACCCCCCCCCCCCCCCACCTTTGTTTGTTGTTTTTTTTGTTAATAATTTTTTTTTTTAAATATTACAAAATTATGTTAATGGTGACCTCCCCCCCCCCCCCCCCCCCCCCCCCCCCCCCCCCCCCCCCCCCCAACGGAACAAAATGTCGATCGGTCAAATTTTCCTATATTTGTATAATTGCAAGTACACTACATGTATAATTATGTGGAAAATATTTGTATTTTAAATATTATCTTTCCTTTTCGTCCTCATAATAACGATCCAAAACTCACAATAAAAGTTTGAAGTTTTTTTGGTGAGATATATCATACTTCAGTTACACTCGTCAAATTTACAACAATATCCCCAATCTACCAAAAACAAGTTCGAGATTCTCTTGATAAAGTTAAATTAAAACCTTTCAACATTCATATCAACAACCTCACTTGAAACTGTCATCCCAAAATTATAAATTATCAAATCAGCAAATTATGAATAATATCATCGTTGTTTCTGCTCTTTTTGCTTTAAGTTTAATTTGATACTTCATGATATAAGTTTATTTTGTAGTGTGATAGAGTTTTGATTTTGAATAGATTAGTTGATTATTTGATGCCATTATTGTGTTTTTATATATTTAATTAAATATCATGTAATTTTGACTTGGTTTTTACTCAAGATTATGGTCACTAAATATTTTTATCATGACTTCTTGAGTATTTTAACATTTCTCATTATATATGTATGATTAATTTATTTTGATGTTCTAGTGTAATAAGCATTCAATATTCAGGACCAGGATGTAAACCAGTCCTTTCTAATCTTGTTATCCTGATGAAATATGTTCAAATAAAAAAAATAAAAAATAAAATAAATAAACCCAAGGGTTTTATATTCTCTTTCAAAATGCGTCATACTGCAGTTACTCTTTTCATTTACACTCAAATTCTCCAACTCACAATAAATGCTCGTCTTAACTCTTTCTTTAAAAATTGTCAACACTGCTTTCATCTACTTACAAAGAGCCTCTTTATCTTTTAAATAAAGTTATACACATTTAAATCCTTTGTAAACATTCACTCGAAACGTCACACAGCATTTATTTTCACTCATAACCACCCTCTCATGCTCACGAAACAACTTTATCACTTGCATTCTTTGTTGTTATTGCTGTTGTTATTTAGATTCATTTTTGTTGATTTTGTATGTCTTGTCTTCTTTCTTCCTTTGCTTATATATATATTTTTTTTTGTATGAAGATTTTCTCTCTACTCACGTACAAGTTCACTCCAGACTCAAATTCAGGGAAACATATAAATAATGTAGATACATTATAAAATAAGTGTATTTAATCTTATTCACTGCATCTTTTTGTATCTGTCCATGATGTAACATGCAAAATTTGCTGAAAACAAATGAAACATTTCCCGAAAACTTTACACAACGAACAAGGACCGTATCCTGAAAACAAACAAACATTTAATTCTAGATTACTTTGAAAGGCAATGGAATGCTTGAATGATTATACCTCCAATTCACATTTATTATTTATCCTGGTAGTTTTGCCAGGTTTTAAGGTTGAAATACACCATCTTCATACATAATTAATAGATTCAGTCTAACCATGCTTTGTCCAATGTTCTCAACATCGCCCGATTTATAAATGCAACATACTATATCACTGTACCCATTTGTCCAAAAAGCATGTACAGCTGCTGCACTCTGCAGTGTAAGAGTATCAATGATAATAACATTCTGGGTTTATATAGTACTAAGACATCTACAATGTCATGTCTCTTAGCACTTTACAGAAATATTATGAATATGCAAAGAAGGAACATCACAGCTTTAAAAATGGACGAGTTATGAAAACCTGAGGCAGAATGCATTTATTTATTTTTTTCAGTTAAGATTTTACAAATTACTATTCAATTCATCAATGGTGATATGCAAGGACCAATTTGTCACTTCCAGAAAATTGAGTCAAGAAATACTGAAAAAACAAAGAATGACAAGAAAATGGAGTTATGAAACAATGATATTTATTGCTTCTTTTTTTTTATATTCTACACTAATATTTATCTGACTACAAACATCCAACTAGAACGAAAAAGAAAAAGAAGACAAAAAGTTGACTATTTTTGGCCTGTTGATAGAAGCGCCAGAAGACCTGCAGACAGCGCTACTGACAAAATGTAATTGCTGGGGAGAAAAACAGGTTAAGGAAAAATATATTTTCATAACAAAAGAGATGAAACATACCACCAACACCTTCAATATCAACATCATTATCATCATCACCACCACCATCATCAATAATCAAGCAATAATTCATCACCGTCTACAGTCATCACTATTATCATCATGATAATCACCACAACCATTATCCTCATCAACATCACCATCAATTATTACCAATACCACTATCACCATCATCATTCACTACCACCACCATCATCATAATCATCACCACCATCCTCAATAGTATCTTTCTCATCATCACCATAATCCTCATTAGTACCAGTATCTTCCTCACCGTCACTACCACCACCATCATTTCGTCCTTGTTTTCACGAAGTGACGGTAGTGAGGAAAATCGTAATGCAAAGTGAATGCAATTTTTTTTCACTACCGTCACTTCGTGAAAACAGCGACGATTTATGTCATCACCATTATCATTAGTATCTTCCTCCTCATCATCATCAAAAACCATTGCCACACCATTATCCTTATCCACATCACCATCAATAATTCCGACCACTGCCACCAACAGTCCACCACCACCACCATCATTTATATCACCACCATCATCAAAAGTATCTTTCTCATCATCATCACTACCACCACTAATAGTATCTTCCTCACCATCATCATCATCAAAACCAGTGCCACACCATTATCCTCATCAATATCAATAAATACCATCACCACCTTCATCATCCTCCTCATCATCATCAATAATTACGACCACTACCACCACCAGTCCACCACCACCATCAACATCATCACTATTACCACCATCATTATCATCACCACCATCAATATTATCCTCCTCATCATCATCATCAAAACCATCGCCACACCATTATCCTCATCAACATCAGCATCAATAAATACCACCACTACCACCACCATCATTATCATCACCACCATCATCAATAGTATCCTCCCCATCATCAAAACCATCGCCACACCATTATCTTCATCAACATCACCATCAATAATTTCCACCACTACCACCACCAGTCCACCACTACCATAATCATCATCACTATCACCACCATTATCATCACCACCATCATCAATAGTATCTTCCACATCATCAAAACCAGCGCCACCACCATTTTCCTCATCAACATCAACTTCAATAACTAGCACCAGTCCACCACCATTACCATCATCATCATCACTACCTCCACCATCATTAGCATCACCACCCCCCCCCCCCCCCCCAACTACAATAGTATCTTCCTCATCATCATCATCAAAACCAGCTTCACACCAATAATTACCACCACTACCACCACCAATCCACAACCGCCATCATCAATAACACCACCATCATTATCATCACCAGTTCACCACCATCATCAATAGCACCTTCCTCATCAAAACCATTGCCACACCATTATCCTCATCAACATCACCAATTCACCATCAATAATTAGCACCACCATCACCATCATCACCACCACCACCACCATCATCCTTCTCATCAACATCAGTTTGAGAAAGGATACATGTTTGGGTCTTGTGACTTGAGAGCAAAGAAGGACATGAAGAGAACCAGGAGAAGGAAGAGGGCGTTATTGTAGAATATCGAGAAGGTGGTGGCTTCGTAGTCGGCTACTTCATTCTTCTTCCACAAGATCCTGTTTGATACACAAGTAAAAGAAGTATTAAAATGACCATAAATAATATATAATAGTAAGATTAATCAAGAACTTATGTTAGAAGTTTGATCATTATCTTATTAATAATTAGAGGGAAGAGTATATTATCGTATATTCTTGAACGAGAATTATGAAGTAAAATAGACATATTTACTAATTTTAGGCAAACTTTTTTGGTACAAATGTTTCTCTTTACAAATAAAAGCTTGCAGAGACTTGTTCAACATAGCAACAACTTGCCTGAAGTGAAATATATTAGTAAACAGGTCTATTACAATGTGTTACAATGCTTGTTTTTGGAGTTTCACAAAACTTGCAACACAAAAGTGAATAACTAGAAATAAGCATTAGAATTAGATAAATACATCAAAGCATACTTTGATCCATAGATTAACTTCCGTCCTTTTTCAAACCGTTGCAATGCCAGATCATGTGATTAATACCAAGAGTTTAGATAATTTTTTCCTGAGAAATCTGCCACCACTATGCCTTTATTCTATCTTTGAGATATGACACAAATATTTTGTGTTGATAAATTGTCAATACACATCACAACTTTGTATAATGCATGCCTACATTATAATCCAAGATGGCGGCCCGCATGTTTTGCCTCTTCTCTTAGACCAATATTATTAATTTCAAAGTCATGAAAAGGCATTAAACATCAACAAACATGGTCAACAACAACTCCAAATGACAAAATAATTCCAGCTATGCATTGTGTTTTAGCATTTTTTTTTGCTGATACCGATCACAAGTGCGAGGGTGTCGCTCCGATCTTCCGATCCGATTAAAGCCCCAACTTACAGGGTTACCGGTAATATTTATCAGCTGTAACAGAAAACAGTGACTTTACCTCTCGTCCTTTTCTTTGCGTGACATCTTCTTGCTGTCAGCATCACTGAGTTTCTTCATCACCTCCTTGGTGACAGCATCCTCTCTCTTGGGAGCAACCCTGTGAGATGATGAGGCAAAGACAAATGGTTGGTTGCTTGGTTTTATATACGATCATGAAATATGAATTAAAAACACATTAACACAAAGAAACACACCACTGAAATATAGTACATGGACCATGTACTAGAAAGAAAAAGAAAGAAAAAAATTAGATTAAAATGAAGATTGAGGGATCATCCGCTCAAGATGATACAATAAAGTCTATCTAGGGGTCCCAAGCTAACTACAATACATTGATTAAATAATAATACTAATACTAATACTAATACTAATACTAATACAAACAAAAACCATGGAAAGGAGTGTGTACATATTATAGTATTAATGACTGCTTTGAGAGAAATAGTTGTTTTATTACGCTCAAGGGAAGGTTAGAATTGTGCTATTCCCCGAGGCTTGCCGAGGGGAATAGCCCAATTGTAACCTTCCCGAGAGCGTATGAAAACAACTATTTCTCGAATATTAAAGCAGTCATTAATACTTTTATATGCCAAAAAAAAATAGACTAAAAAATAAAAAATAATTTACATTTTTGTCGAAGACGGGATTCGAACTCTTGCGTACAACAAGAGGTGTATCGAAAACCAACGCTTAGACCACTCGGCTATCGCGCGCCGTTAACATGCTTGGCAGTTTTCTCCAATATATACATTAAAATGGATTGAAAACGGCTCCGCGTGAGGGATGCTTCGCAAAAGCTCCATGAAACGGACCCTTCTTTTACTTTTGCAATGCATATTGGCACGAACTTAGATCAAGATCTATCGGCAGATGTTGTTTTTTTGTTTTTGAGAGTTAATTTTCGTCTTCATGTCAACAATGCAAGATAAAATTGTCGGTAAGATTGATCGAGATTCAATTGTATTGAAATTGCCGACCAATTTTTCGCACACGTATGGTATCCTCCATCGCTCAAACCATTTTTTAACATGTAAACCTATGGGGTAACCATGGAGACTGACCTATTTTTTTAATAACCATGGTTATTAAAAATATTGAAATGTTTTAAGCATGGTTACCGGGAATTTTACAGGAACAGTTGAAGTTTATGAATGCAATTCGACCAATCAGATGGCTGGATTTCTTAAGTGAGGTATATAATATTGATTATCATCATAACAACAATCAGGGATATCAGATAGAATTGATCAGAGGGCCTGAAAATCATGTAGAATGAGCTATTTTGTACACAAAAAAAGCCTAAACTATGGTCTGAAAATAATTTGCCAGGGCCTAAATTCAGGCTATTGTCTGAAAACTGGCATCACTGAACAATTTAGTACCAGAACTACACCACCCACCCTTCCCGCCCCTAGCTAAATCAACCACAATTAACTCCTTAGGTATATTCAACATGGATCCAGGCTCATTCATCATCCACAAAAGGGACAACTCAGTCTCGGCAGATAATCAAGACCAAGAAAGCTATTGGTGTAAATCACAAAAGTGTACAGTATGTGCCGTAAAGTCTGCTGAAGTGACCACCTGGATAAACAGACAACTTTTCTATATAGATACATTTTTGTGTCTTTCCATATTGAAACATTTATCAAGGGAACTTATGCACAAAAATCTGGTATAAAGACAACTATTCTTCTCCATTGACTCGGTATTTATTGCAGGTTTCAATTATTTGAACTATGGCAAATTATCCACTTTCTTTATCATAAAAAAGAGGAAAATATTAGAGACAACTTACTTGTGCTTCAAGACGAATTTGACATTCTTGTATGCGAAGGCTACCAACCAGCTACTGATGAGTGTCATGATAACAAACATCACAATGGATTGGGACTGGAACAGGTCCACTTGGTGGATACGCCAAAACAACCCTGTGGGATTAAGGAGAAAGATGAGTATTAAATATACATCTTTACAATGTCAAAGATGCTATTTAGCAAGGTTTACTGTATACTACATAACACTAATAGTGTAATGGGATGTTTCAAAATCAACAAACTGATAAAAAGTGGACTAAATCTTGCTGAAAAATAACATATGGACAGTTGGACATCATTACATACAGGAATGGATATGTGGGAAGGTATGAAAGTTTAGTCAAAATATCCAGCCATTTCTAGTCACAATTGTACTGTCATAGAATTCAAAGTCATTTTGTTGAGGGATATTTATTCAATGGTACTCTTCTACATGGATTTTTTTTTTTAAAGAACCAGAAAGCTCACAAAATGTTTTATTTTTACAAAATCCTAATCTTCTCTTTCAAAAGAAAGTTTAGTTCTGGTAATGTCAAAATATTATGAGCAAACAGAGCTTTCTAGTTCCTAACTTCTATTTTCTTTTATTCCTTCTTCCTTCTGGGATACTCCTCAACGTCCCATCCAATATGGAAGACTAACAGAGTGATTGTAGCAATTTTCCCTAAAAGTAAAAGTGATTTCTCTTGTTGTCTTGAAGAGCTCTTGGTGTTATCATGTTTTAGGAAACCACTTGTTCCTTTGCATGCATACAGTCGTGTGTAGAGTCATTCTCTGCTGGAGTGAGAAAAAGGAGACAGACGATGCAATGAAGCACTACTACACTAACTACACTATGCGGAGCGGTTATTTCACGATAACGCTGCACTCTTAAATCCCAAATATACAAGTAATTAAAGACAACCTTAGACTGAAATCTAACTAGCATATGTTTCTGAAACGGGTCTACGACGGCTGCTTTTTACATCATGTCCTTGACTTTAAGCAAGATTTTGTCATTTTTTTAATAATTAAGGTGCTTCTAAATTTCTATTAAACCTCTATAACATGTAGAATTGTTCCTATTAACATTATCAAAACATGGAATGGTTTAGATTAACTTCTTAACAGTTTCTTTTACAATTATGCAACTGACAACTGTACAAATATTCTACATCGCAAATCATGAAATTTCATGACATGAAAATTAAATTTACAACAAACTTACAAAGTCTCAAAGAAAAAGGCAACAATCAAAAGAGCAAACTCTGGCCATTATTATTTTACATGTAGAAATGAAGCAATTCCATTCATTTTTAAGGATCCTAATGTACACAACAAAACACAAATGAATATTTACTTAAATTAAATATTGTTCTTTTTCACTTAGACATGTTCGCAGACAGTCACACCATTTATCATGATCATCACCATTAATTATTTCAATTCACTCTCTCGACCTCCCTACAAAAATATCATTTTCTTTCTCAATTTCCATTTCCAACACAATCACCAAATGCTCATAGTAAATTACTGAACTAAGGGAAATATTTAGTTTGAAGTGCACAGCTGTTTATTGAAATATGTATAACTTTGTAGCGTAACTTTTTGTAGTTCGTACAGCTTCGCATTGCATCTGTGGGCAGTCGCATTGCATGCACCGAGCCGTTTACAGTGCATTCTCAATGCAACGTGGCACAGTGGCTCAGTTTGCAGTGCGTGTAACGTGTATGCACAAACTCAATCAGCAATCCTTAATCCCCCAATAAAATGAACATTTTCATAAAAATAAGAATTTTTCTTACAAGTTGGAATGGCAGATACGATAAAGGCATTGCCGTAGAAGAGCGCAGATGACTTGGTTGATACATTCCTGCTGAAATCTTGGAGCAAAAGCTCCTCTTCCTTTGTCAATTTCTTTCCACCAGCCATTTTTCTTCTGCAGCAGCCGTCGAGAGAGAATTAAATGTGTTAAATTTGGACGTAGATGGGGCACATCTAAAACTTACTTGGGGGAATCTTGCTCGAGGATACAATCTTTGGAGAAAGAAAAAAAAGTAAATACTTGAATCATTATTATAAATTAATTGATTAATTAAATGGTTTATATTTTTCCTCTACAAGGCATAGTGTTTTCTTTGGAAGCCGTATTATGGTACATTTAATCAGGGAGGTGTGGAATTTTCTTTTATCAGACATTTGTGATTTTATAATTACATTAATTATATTTTAATAACAAAACGAACTGTTCCACAAGAGCATTCACATTAGGTTCCCCTTTGGTAGTTTTCTTTAAAGTAATTTTACCTGTGACAATTAGCCCCATAACTAGCTGCGGTTTGTGGGGCTGAACTGGCTTGTGGCCTCTTTTTGAACTAATGTGGCACACCATAAATACACAAAGAAATGTGCCACATTATATTGTTATTTTCCCATCAGATTTTTTCGGAATCCCCGTCCCAATTTAATTCAAATTTTATCTAACACTCTTCATTTAAAACATAAAAATATATGCCCGGTATTAATTAGAAGTTTGTCAGTGTTGTTGGGCAATAGTGTCTTAGCCCTGCGACTTTTACTTGATGCCACAACTCCTCTGGTTGCAAATACATGGAAATTTGTTGTCTCATTGCTCGTATGAATGTCACTATTTCTCAATCAATATCTCTATCTATCAATCAATCCATCCATACATACATCTAACAATTCACCAAGACAACCAATCAGTCAGTCAATCAGTCAGTCAGTCAGTCAAACAGTCAACCATTCATTCAGTCTATCCATCAATCAATTCATTAATCAATCAAATAATACTTTAATGGTAAACAGGAGATAACACTATTTCACTTATTTCTGTCAAGCAATACTTCAATGCTATCAGTAACAGTAATATGTCCGAATGTTTTAAACAAGAGATGGCGCTATACCACTTACTTTTCATACCTTCCTCTATTGTTATTTTGATTATAAACTGTTTATATGAAAGAAAAATTGTATAGATTGATCATGTATAATTAGACATTTTTCTATATGTTCATTGTTCATTGATTGATGTATATTCATGAAATGTCTTGTATCGAAGATGATTTCTTGCAATCTGAATTCATGAGGAAGGAAATAAAATATCATTTAAAACAAAAAATAGCTAGTTTATTCCCAGATACATGACTGCATTGATGACCCTTTGTATTATTGTCTAGCAGTCTTATTTGTTGAACTGTAAATTAGTAATATTGCGTCAGGACTTGCTACCCCTTTGCCAGTTATATTTTGTCATGTATCTTCTATTTGATTCGAAATTTCATCAAAATCTCATTTTATTAAAATTAATTTATTTGATATCTTATTTCGAGAACACATATGTAAATATTTTTCATAGATTTTAGATTGCCATACTGTTATTCTAATCCTTTGTATCATCATTCAAAAAAAATGTTTACCAAATGAATTAGTTATAATGCTATAGGAAGGAAGTAAAGATTAAAAAGCAATCTAACCCTTGTAATACGTTCATTTTAATAAAAGCAGAAAAATAAGAGAAACAAAATAGAGAAAGTTTGAATAAATGGGAACAGTTATAAGAAAGTTTAAAATGTTTGAAATATGAGATCACTACAGCTATATGCGAATCTCAAGTTTGCAATTTGTCAGTAGATTGTGATTATTTGTGACGTAGTAACGGATAACTCTCCCGTTTTTCGAGTGTACACAAATATTACTTATTGTGTATTTATTATTATAATTATGAATTACTATGTATTTCTCCCCAGTGCCTTCACCCGTGAGGCACTATTAAATATATATTGTGGAGAGTACATTATTACAGGTTCTCTAAAAAGAAAAGACCATCCCGAGTCATACATTTTTTTTAATTGAAATTTTAGTTGGTTGGTTGGTTTTATATACGATCATAAAATATGAGTGTTGGGACATATTACGTGAAAGTTGTCCGTCATGTCATCACAGAGACATTACCGATTCAACCAATTTAAAGAGCCGATACCTACATGATTGCAACTACATTTCTTATTTTTTATCCGATTTCATTCAAACTTGTATGCTTCTCTAATTTTTCTGCTTTTCTGCAGACTACAGTACTAGAGTAGTTTGCTATCAGATGTTGGATTCCCCTTTAATCAATATAGCTAAGAAAGAAAATAATAACTTATTATATCGGAAAGAAAATAAACAATGTATGTACCTGGTTATATATAATTTAAAAATTAAACTTATAATATGTAAATATTTTTGTTAGCGAGTGATATGCTTTATATTTGCATGACTATACATCATGTACATAATATCAGACTGCATTTAAGTGACAAAGATTGCCAAAGTTTAACATTGTGAGTAATATTAATTTACTTAAAAATTAATCATATATGCTTTTCAATTTTATTTAAAAGTTAATAATATGCTTATAAAATTTTCAAGACAGCTTGTGTAAAGTCCGACTAATCAAAGACTTTCAAAAATATTTAAGTAGCCTTTCAATATGCTACGTTTAAAGTGCACAGTAATCCATAACTGTTTCGATTATGAATCACTGAGTGTCAAACTTCTTTAGAAATTCAAATTTCCCAGTACTCTGAGCCCAGTTCGCCTGAGTGTGGGGTATTATTCCAAGAGCAGGAGTCGATGAAAACTAAACAAAAATCTAATTTACACCTCGGATAATCAAAAGGCCTTGATGATGATGTTTTCACAATGACAAGCCCTCAAATTTAACGATGGCATTGGCGGAAAAGTAGAGATGAAAAAAGCCGCCAAGATTCCCCCTCCAGTTTGCTTCTTGCCTCGATCCCTCCGCAGACATTCCGTAATTTCACAACAATGGCGTAGCGTGGGACCATAACTGATTGGGGGCACCTGTCGTACTTGGCACACACCCCCATTATGTTTTATTATGTGTTGTAGATTGCCCCTCCCCCTTTCATTAAATTTTGAGTCCGCCCCTGATAGCTAGGGTAGATCTATTGCGAGAGAAAATAGCATAGAGTTCAAAAAGGAGTGGGAAGGGTGTGTCATCACATTTCCACGTTACTTGCTCTCTTTCATTCCCCCTTTTCTCTACATTGTCATTGCCCCATGCCCCCTCAGCTACGCCATTTACTTGAAGTATGCTCTTTATAAAAGCAAAGCTTAGCCTTATTGAAATATACCTAGAAACAACGACGTGAAATGGAAAGTGTGAACATTTAATAATCAGATTATAATCCGAAAGTGAATAGCAGCACCGTGTGAAATATATGAATGGCACTACCAGCCTACAGCTTTAAAGAAACAGGGGTGAAACTACGAACCACCCCAGCCCGCCCCCCTTCTTTCTCTCTCTCTCTCTCTCTCTCTCTGTCATCTAATTCAAATATTGCATAGCATGGACCTGAACCGAGATAACTGTAACAGGATGCATGATTAATTTCGAAGGTCTGATTCCTGAAAATTATACGTTCATTAACGACATTTATGAAATTAACTATGAAATTCGAAGTCATGGATTAAACAAAAATTTGACGTGTGTATATGAATTCATAGTCATACATGAACTACTGGCATTAAAAGCAATTATCTAAAATAATCATATCGCATGAACAACATAATTTATTGTATCCATCATACTTTTCTTTTAATAGACTATTCAAATCGTTGTCCTGTATACTGTTCCATTTTCGTTTAATTTCCTATCATATTTTCCTTCCTCCTCCTCCTCCTCCTCCTCCTCCTCCTCCTCCTCATCCCTCTTCTTCAACAGAATTATTGAAGTCCATTATTTATTTGACGAGGAAAAAAATAGCTCAAAACATTCACACTCGCAGCCAAAAATAACAATATAATACTAAGAATTATATGTTATTATACAACTTATTTTGTTATACACATTACATTGACAAAATAGCTTTCCATCACTTTACATTTTAAATTGTTTCATTATTGAGTATGGAAATGGTATAAAAACAAGGTCATATGAATAGGCCTACATAAAGTAACTTCTGTAATAAAATTACAAAACAGAAAAAGAAAATTCTTACGACCATGGTCCATGTATTTAAAATAAATTGTAACTAATATACCACCGTAACACAATTCATATCTTCGATACTGAACAAATTTCTTTCCCAACTCCCCCTACACTTTTATTTTTAAAACAAATTGAGTTCAGTCCTTGTAACATAATACAACCTTTTATATTTCAATTCTTATTTTCATTAAAACCCTAATATATGCAACCTTCAGTTTGAGGCCGCCATCCTAGTCAAGCATCGCTTATGAAGGCGATCTCCTGCATATTTCCACAGATAGTTAGGCTAATAGTTTTAAATTCATAATATTATAGTATAGAAATATTAAGTTCGTTATTATATGTGTATATGTTAGTGACATTTTAACATTATTACTGTTTGCATATTTTTATGATACCTAACGTTTACATGTTCTTTGTTAATCAGTTAATGTATTTGGGTAAATGAAGAAATCAAATCAAATCAAATTAAATCAAAGTTTAGAACTTAAAGAAATCCGAGTCAATATTTACTGTTTAGGGCCGTACACAGGACTAAAAGTAACCAATATTCGTATAGTCTGAAAAAACACAACTCTTGTAAACTCTATACAGCCTCTAGTACACTTGGAATAAATCGAAAGGGATCTGTGAGAAAGAAAAAAAATGGTTTGACAGTGATACGCTACAGCCTTCAGGTATCATCGTGAATAATAATTACAGGAAAATGTTAACACTTCCAGTTTCGACCAAGTTAATTATCAGAGAAAGAGCCAAAAGCTTGACTAATAACAAAAATGTATAGGTGTGTATTTTTCGATGGAATAGAAACAGGTATTTCCCTGCAGCCTGCAGTAAAATAGAAATAATCTTATTTATGACGTAGGCCTTAGGGAAATATTACACCTGTGTATACATTGTTGCTGTGATGAATATTTCATTAGATTGAATAT